CCCCCCCAACTCCGAGAGCCAGAAGGAATCAAATGTGATTTTCGACAGAAAAACCTCTTGACAAGGTTCATTTCCCCACACTTTCGCTTCCCTCTCTTTGTCTTTCTCTACGTGTATATGCATGCTTGCATGCATCTTTCTTTTTGGGTAGTTAAAGATTCCCCTTTCTGTAGTCCCCATGTGCGGCTGCGTCGTCTTTACCGTTTTGCCGTTTAAGAGCCCATTCCTTCTTCATGCGTCAACGGCCAGAGAGAAAACTCCTTTGATAAAGGAAAGTCCTACATCGTGTGATTTTTCTCTGAATAGCCATCGTACACAACGTTCCAGGTTGAAGCATGCAGTGAAAAAGGGGGGAGAATCACACGAAAGCCAAAACCTGCAGAAGTCCATCGGGCTCCGGTAGCCAAAAAAGAAAACGAGGATCATCAGCCCCCGTCATACCAGAAACTGTAAGAACCTCATACTCATATGTATGTAGGTAGGTCAATCGTTCCCCCTTGATACAGACTTCAATAAAAAAAACAAAAAACACCAATTCCTCATACATAGATACTTACAGTGGATAAGGTATTACATACAGTGGAAGTGCACGGATCCGCGCCGATCACAACGGTGAAGCGTTTCATCAAACCCAGTCTTTTTGGGTAAACAAGCTTTTGACAAGCTCCGTCACGAGAAGCTTTTGCTTGTTTTCTTTGGCTTCTTGATCTCCGTCTCCTTCCGACGGGTTATCCTCTAGCTCTTCTTCTTCTACTACTAGTACTTGTTGCTTTTCTACTTCATGTACATACTGTTACATACTATAGGTAGGTTAGGTAGTAGTTGATCTGCAGATGATGCCTCCTGTATCTGTTGGTTGCGCCGTACCGCCGCGATATCTTGTTGTGAAAATCATTAACGGATTGGAATACCGGATCGTTTGGAACGAGGCCACCGTGGATAAGCGTAGAACCTGCATCATCAAGGCAACATCAACGGACAGGACGACGGATATGGCTGCTACAGTATTATGTAGTTCTATCGTGATGTCTTCGCAACAGGTCATAACTACATATGCCCTCCTGTCTCGAGCTCTTTGCCCGTCTGCCCGTCTGCCTGTCCATGTTATGTAGTTCGTACACTTGGGTGTGTTAGTTGCCAACCCCTGTGGATCACCGCAATGATGCCATCACTCGATAATCTTGCCCCTGAAGCCAGGTAACCGCTCGCTCTCAAACACCAGCGGCCCTCCCCCCGGCCCGCTCGCGTCCAAACTCACCGTCATGCCGCTCCTGTCGCCCACCACGCGCACCGTCTCGCCCAGATTTCGCAAGTCCACCTCGCACCCCAGCGCCGTCGCCTGCCCTCCATCCCCGTCCGCGTTGAGGACCTCTCTGATCTCGACAAGAGGAGAAGGCAGCCAACCTTCGCGCAGCGGAATCAGGATGAGCGGAATCTCAGCCTCCGTCTCTGCCGAAGACGTCATCGTCTCCGCCGGCGATGACGCCGACGGGCCGGGGATCACAAAGTGGCCCTTCCGTCGGCCGCCCAGGAGCCATGTGTCTGCGGGCGCCGTGACCTCATAGCTAAACTCTTGGTCGCTGCGCACTGCCGAGTCCGCGTCCCAGATCCGCGTCCACTTGAGGTGCAGCGTCGCCGGCAGCATCTGGTTCGTGCAGACCGTTGGCAGGCCTGCGCTCGTGCTGTCCTTGACGGGGCTTGGAATGAGGCTCTGCAGGCGGATATCTGCCGTGTGCAACACCGGCAAGGCCGGTATTTCCACGGGGATGAGGATCGACGACGGGTCGACTGTGCCCTCTCTTGGAATGACGAGACGGATGTTGGCTTTCTGCCACGTTCGAAGGAACGCTGACAGCTCTTCGGCCGCACGCTCGCCCACTCCAGGCGCTCCTCCAATCCCCGCGAAATGCCTCTCCCACACCACCTCCCTCAGGCTGGTGGTCATCATCTCTCCCATCAGAGTAGCTTGCTCCAGGTCTCGCGGCACCATCTTGGACTTGAGCTCGCGCCAGACCGTCGCCACCACATGTTTCGTGTATTGCGTAAGCGTCGTCTTCTCCAAGGCCTCCGTCAGAGACCGCCTCACTAGCTCTTCCATCTCGGCTTCCAGCGAGGTGTAGTCGAGCTTCAGGTACATGGTCCTACCACCCCGCTTGCCCGCCTTGGCCCCCGGTATCCTCTTCACCTTGTACAGCAAGCTCGCTGGCTGCTTCGGGAATATGAAGACAGGACTGCTGGGCGGCACTCCGAATACAGAGTCGAAGAGGTCCGATTTGAGCAGCTCGCTCTTGTAGAGCCGTAGAGGGCTGGCGGAGGCTGTCGACACGTTGAACCGGGAAAAGAGCGCCTCATGCTTGAACACATCTTGCACATTGACGCCCAGTGCCAGAGCCACATGGACTACCAGGGACTTGGCCAGGGAATATGTCTCGTCGGCTTCCGTAACATACGTAGCTTCGATTTTGGCAAAGATGTCTGCCACATCCTGCTCCACAGAGTATGGGAATCGTATGGTGACCACCTGATTCGCATCGATAGCGTCAAAGTGAAATACGCCGGCCTCGGGAGGCTTTGCAAACTGCATCTCGGAGCCCACAAACGCCGCTTCCGTAGTGAGGAAGCGCAAGCCTCCAGTTGCTGGCTTCACTCGGATCTCGCATTTCTTCAGAGAGTTCCATCCGGTGTGTAGCACCAAGTCGATGGAGTTGTTCTTATCCAGCGTCGTCTGTTTGGTGGCAGACATGGAAAAGTCAAACGCGCTCGTGCGCTGGAAGAGCATGACGTCGGCATGCCTGAAGATGTCCGTTGTGCTGCTTGACGCGGTTTTGGCATCCCGCTCAAAATGCAAGACGAGGTTCTTCGTCGAAAGGACAAGCCGATCGATCTTGTAACGTCCTGAGACTACAGCCTGAGAAGTTATGTTAGCCTCTTGCCCATGAGTTTGATACGCCAGCTGTGACTTACTCGACAGCTCACTCGTATCTTGTTCTTGCCGGGTTTCAGGATGATAGGTGAGCCTGCCGCAGCCTCGAATAGTCGTTCTCTGCTTGGCCCTTCGTCAACAGCCGTGATTCGTAACCTAGCAGAGTCAAAAGAGATGTCTTCTGGCAGCAAGCTCCTGAGACTGATATCCAGGGAGCAGCCGTCTTGGTTGTCGTCGTACACCGGAGAGCCATCTAGGCCAACATCTGTCACAAAGTTCTCCAGAGGAACCTTGACCTCCTTTGACAGTGACTTGGCGAGCCGAGTGAGCTTCTCGACGATGCCAGTGACCGGCCATGCTTCGGGATAAGTCTTGCTTTCTGAGAAGCGGATCAAGCCTGATCTCTTCTGCAGACGTTCCTTCTCTGCAGCGCAGTACTTGGTCAGCAGCTTCAGGGCAACACCGACGTGTTCGCCCTTTGGATTGATCTCATCCAGGCATTGGCAGTACATGATGAGCATGGACAGCTCTAGTAGGCTCCAGCCACTCTCTCCAAAGAAGGGAGTGGTGAGCGAAAAGTAAGACGAGGCAGCCTTGTAGTCCTTCATGTGAACCTTCAAGACGGCCAAATCTGCCATGCTGGAGTGAACCGCATGATCGTGGTTCGCCACCGTGAAGTGGCGCATGGCTTTATCGGTGAGAATTTCGTACAGACGATAGAAGTCATCCGTATTGTCAATGGCCGTCCGTAGCACGGGGTTGTCAATGCCGGCCATCGAGGGAGTGTATGCCTCCTTTGGCGAGGGAGAAGCGTCAGCTCCGTCGCCTTCGCCAGCTCCGTCGCCTTCGCCAGCACCGCCACCTTCGTCGGCGTCGTCGGCCTTGCTATCGTCGTTCAGGTCGACATCTTCCATGTTATCGAAGCCGATCCCCCCGACCAAAGGAGCTTCGTCCCAGCCGTCGCTCCAACCGCGCTTCTTACCAAGACTCGTAAGGATGCTTCTGGAAAGCATGTACAGCTCAGCCCGCCGCGCCGCCAAATCCTCCAGGCCATTCTTCAGAAACGTTTTAGCGCCCTGGGCATCATCGTCATGCGGAAACTGCCTGCCGGGCCCAGGAAAGAAGCCGGGGCTGAGCGGAGTGGGTGGGATGGCGCCGCTTCTCGGAGAAAGTGATGAGTTCCGCGCTGGGTGAATCATGGTCTTGGGCTCTGGGATGGAAGACTTCTGCTCGAGCCCGTCCCCATAGGACAAGGACGACGGCGGAATGGGCAGCGCTTTCGTTGAAGTTTGGGCGAGGATCTGCTGCGCGACTGAAAAGGCAAATGAAGCCACCATGTTGTCGACTGTTTCTTCCATCAATGGACTCAGTTTCGGCGGTTTGCTGCTCGGTGTTCTGCTCGCTGTTAAACCCAGAATCACGTCCCGCCGCAGTATCTGCGAGACTGATGGGATGAACTGCAGTGTTCGCTGGCATATCTCTGCAAACGTGGTGAGATTCTCCGGCTCGTCCTTGTGATTCGGTGGCGGCGGCGCCAGGGGTGCTTCGCCGTAGAGGATGGACTCTTGCTGGCTTTTGAGCATGGCTATGAGCTCTTCTTTGGAAGAAAGCGCATGGCCCAGCCTCAGCAGCAATGCGATCTGGCGGGAGAAGATGTAGCATCGAAAGTCGAAGACGGACACCTTGTTTGCCAGGATCATGTCTCGGTAGGCCTTTGCTGTCGAGCTGATGGCGATTTGGTCAAAGTTTGGTCCCTTGCTTTTTATCGTCTTCGACTCGGCATCACTGCCGCCGTCACTGCTGTATTCAGCTGCGATTTCCAGTGCTTTCTCGGCCATGTCTCTGAGTCCTTCCGTGAAAGCGAGCATTTCACCACCATGCCTCTCTGGCGCGCCCGATTCGAGTTGCTCGTGCAATATCGTATCCAGTCCAACGCTGAGCTCGTCATACCCAACCAACGCATCCTCCACAAGCCCAACGCTCTCAAACCCCCTCGCCAGTCCTTCTTTGAGAATGAAAAAGGTGCAAAAGTTCCAACCGGGCAGAGTCCGCTGCGCGTCCTTTTCCCGAATGTCTTCCTCGTACTGGGTCACTCGCATGTCAAACGAGGCCAGAATGAGGCTCTTCATTTTCGCGATCAAATCATTCCAGGCGTTCTCGGCGTCTAGTTCCGTTTCCGTGTAGCCGGTGGGCACCGCTGGGACCACTCGGGGCAAAAGGTCGTACGGCACATCGTTGATCCCGATCCTGATCTGCGCGACATGGTCCTGAGATCCCTTGGTTGTGGCGTTGAAGTCTGATCGGAACTTCTCCAGTAAAGGGGTCGTCCCGGGGCGCCATCGTGATGCCGTGCTCTTCTCCGCCGAGTCTGATCTCCCGCTGCTTCGCGGCTGAGTCGAAGCCACCGTGTTGGGTATGACAACATGTACAATGAGCCATTCGAAGGCATCGTGATTCTCCTGGCCACTCCCTTTCTTCGAGGTGCTCACGGGCGACGTGTGCACCTTGACCCACTCGCGGACCTCGGCTCGCACCGAGTTCTTGTAGGAGTCGTTATCATCGCACCGGACCAGCAGCATCTTGAGATACGGCGTGCGGCGCAGTCCCGGGATCTGGTGCCGCCGCAGATTCCCACTGGCCTTGGATCGAAGCGAGGGCGGCGCCCGTCCGGATTCCGTAGAGACACTAACACTGCGAGACCGCAAGCCGTCGGACCCCCGCGACACGCTGCCCGAGCGCCGTCCTGCCGGCGACAGGGTGGTCTCGGGCACCTCGAGACTGCCGCGAATCAGCTCGACATGCAGCGTGTCGATGGACCTCAGCGGCCCGGAGTGAGACTGCCAGTTGAGGTTGTGAAGGGGCAGCCGCGGGACGAGCCCCGGGGCGAGGAGCTTGAACACATCGTGGGGATCGAAGTACTCGACTGCGCGGGTGATTGCATGCAACTCGAATTAGTTGATCTCCGGCATCTCCTCAACGCTGCCAACACCCGTTTGAGTTTTCCCTACCTGTTACCGTTGACGTCGACGTCTGCTGATCCATGGCATCCAGGTCGTCTCGAACTCGAGCATTGTCGACCGCCAGAGAGCGTGTCGAGGGTCGATGCGACAGAAGAGCTGGCCGCAACGGTCGAGGTGCATCACCGACATGGGTGACCCCTGACTGGAGCAGCGCGGGCTGCCAATGGCGGCGGGGAAGCTTCCACTGGCCGGATTTTGTGTTACTCCGGGGTTGGGCGGTGAGACGGGCGGTGAGACGGCCGTTTACAGGGCGATGATGTGCTTTCATCCGCTGTAAGTGAGAGGCTGGCCTTGATCCTCTCAGAGGAAGCAACTAGAGTGTAGAGATACAATCATAAGAAGGCCAAGAGTCCGTACAATTCAATTCCGCATCCTGACTATTCCTACCGAGGTGATATCAGCTCTGTTACCTAGAGTATATAAAAAAAGTCCAGTTACAGGCGCATTCGATGTGGCGGTTACAAGCGCATGCTACTGGATGAGGGGCGCGGCAGAATTCGCAATGGAGGGGCATCTGCAGCTGGTTGCTGCATCAAGGGACTTTCATGTGCATGTGAAAAAAAGATTCACGCCACCCTCAACTCGCCCTCACGAAACCACCTCAACTATCCAATTCAACCCCAGCATCGCAATGTCGCTCCTGCAGGCCGTCAAATACCAGCGAGGCAAGCTCGAGGTCCTGGACCAGCTGCTTCTCCCCCACGAATTCCGCTATGACACCGTATCGACAAGACAAGAGGCCTTTGACAGCATCGCCACCATGCGAGTGCGAGGCGCCCCGGCCATCGCCATCGTCGCCAGCCTGGGCCTCGCCGTCGAACTGCACAACAACTCCGTTTCAGGCACTTCCGACGGCGAAGTGATTGCGCAGATTGACGAGGCGTTGGACTACCTCAAGGAGAGCAGGCCGACAGCCGTCGATCTGACCAACGCCATCAACCAGCTCAAGGCGACCATTCGGACGGCCGACGGAAAGGGCAAAGAGGCCATCGTGCAGGCCTTCATCGAAGAGGCGGAGAGGATATTCGAAAAGGACCTGCAGAGCAACCTCTCGATAGGCGACCACGGCGCACAATGGCTCCAGGCAAGGGCTGGCGCTTCGCCTGACCACAAGATCTCCGTCCTGACGCACTGCAACACTGGCGCGCTCGCCACCTCGGGCCACGGAACCGCGCTCGGAATCATTCGCACCCTCCAGTCCAAGGGGTACCTGAAGCACGCCTTCTGCACCGAGACTCGGCCATACAACCAGGGTAGCCGATTGACGGCGTTCGAGCTCGTCCACGAGGGCATCCCCAGCACGCTCATCACAGACTCCATGGCCGCTGCTCTCTTCCGAACCAAAAAGGCAGAGAACAACATCGCAGCCGTCATAGTGGGTGCTGACCGTGTCGTCCGCAACGGCGATACCGCCAATAAGATTGGCACCTACCAGCTGGCCGTGCTGGCCAAGCACCACGGAATCAAGTTCATCGTTGCCGCCCCGACAACGAGCATCGACCTGGAGACCAAGACTGGCGACGGTATCAAGATTGAGGAGCGTAAGAGGGAAGAGTTGACACAGATCTCGGGCGCAGTCGTCGGACCGGATGGTCGCGTCGATGGAAACAACAAGGTCCGAGTTGCGACGGCCGACCAGCGAATCGACGTCTGGAACCCTGCGTTTGATGTCACTCCCGCAGAGTTCATCGACGTGGTCGTGACGGAGAAGGGTGCTGTTGAGAAGGGACCTGATGGCACCTTTGACTTGAGCCAGATTCTGCCTGAGCGATGGGCGAAGCTGGTTGGTTAATGAACTTGGAAAAGAGAGGGAAAGCAATAGAGGCATTTAAACATGCCATCACGCGGAAAAGACCAGGGTTAGAGCACAGCGTCATGAGAGTATCATTTCACATACATCATCTAATATCCAAAATAAACGATTAATTCCTAACGCAGCCCTCTCATTGGCTCAGTGCGTGAAGAATGAGCTTCTGGTAGTCTTCAACCGCCTTCTCCAAGTCACCGACAGTGATGTACTCGTGGTCACCGTGAGCAACGAGAATGCTGCCCGGCCCATACAAGTAGCGGACATAGTCGGCATCCAGATTGGGAATGTCAGTGCCGTAGTTGACGACAGTTGCCTCAAATCCTGTAACAAGTCAGCGAATCCTTTCGAACCTTTGGCTCCAATAAACTCACCTTCAACATCGCAGTTGCATTCATACGGCCCATATCCGTGGGTACACTCAAACGTAAAGGCCTCCTCGTCAGTCTCCTTCAGAATATCCGCAATCTTTTGCTGAACGACCTTGTGGCCCTCCTTCTCAGATCCCACGGCAACACGAGCCGCCATATCGACAAAGGCCTTGGCCGGAATCACATTCGCAGCAACGCCGCCGTCAAACCGGCCGACGTTGAACGTGGTGTTGCCAAACAGATGGCTAGAACCAAGATCCGTGTCAAGGATCTTGCTCATGGCCCGGATCATCAGCTCGTTGGCCGACTTGCCCATCTCGGGGTAGCCACTGTGGGCATCCTTGCCCTTGGCCTCGGCACTGCAGAAGAGGGCGCCCTTGTGGCCGCACGCCAGCTTGTTCTCCGTAGGCTCACCGAAGATGGCGGACTCAAAGGAAAGAGGCGGGTCCATGTGCTTGAGGGAGTCGCTGAACAGCCTCATGCCATCACCAGTCGTTTCCTCGCCGACGACGAAGAGCAGGATGAGGTCCTCGGGGTTGACGTCGCTGTTTGTGGAGAGCAGGTGGTTCACCGCCACGATCTGGGTGGCAACGCTGCCTTTGGCGTCCGTCGTGCCGCGGCCGTGGATGATTGTCTTCTTGGAGATCTCGTCGCCCTCAATCTTCCACGGGATGTGCGGAGGGACCACGTCGATGTGGCTCGTCACCAGCGTCTTGTAGCTGGGCTTCCTGTTGCCGCGCCACGCCAGGACGTTGAACCGGTCGGGCACATCCGGATGGTCCTTGGGTGGGGGAACAAACTGGATGTCCACCTGGTACTGAGCCTGCGTCAGGTAGTGGACGAGGAACTGGCCGACCTCGTTCTCTTTACCACTGTCAGACGGGAATGAGACCAGCGACTCGAGAAGCTGGAGCAGCTCGTCTCGGTAGGACGGAGCGTCTGCACTGGCATGCGGCGAAGTCGATGAGCCAGAGTGGCCGACTTCAGAGAGCGGCTGCTGCTGCTGGCCTGAACAGAGCGCCAGCAGCGCCGGAAAGGCAATTGCAGTAGCTGAGGCCCAATGCATTGTGTGCTGTTGCTTGGAGCTGGCGGTGTTTGGCTCTCGGGGCGGTGATGTAAACAGACAGAAGCCGGATTAGGCCGTATGAACGCGAGATCCCAGTTGACAGGCCTCAGATCCACGTGACTGAGGAGACTCTTCGCATTTGAGACCCTTTATATTTTGCATGATTCCTTGAATGCGTTAACCATGAGTACGTGGATAAAATATTCTACCTTTAGCCCTCGACTCGACCTTTGTTGTGTTACATTTGCTGCCGCTCGTTGCCGAGCAGATGAAGCTGAAGGGCGAAGCTATGCGAGCTAATGTTGGAGCTACCTTATGGGAGCGCGGATGACGTACCCGGGAATGAAGCATTGGGTGTTTACATATTACACCAGCAGCAATTGATCCAGTAACTGAGTGACGGTTATAATGATAAAATTGATTGACTCTCGTCTAGGTAGGGCAAGAACCAATATTGTTACAAAGTAGAGATGAACTTCTAGTGTGACAGTCTATCATAGCAATCATTGCATCACCGTGTTAGTCACCCCTCTTAAACACAACATCCAACTCTTCACCTCCAACCTCAATCTCGACCCTTACATCTCCCCCATCCTTCACGGTTACACTCTGCACCAGCTCTCCATTCACAAAAACACACCAACTCCCCCCCGGCAAGTTATTCGCCACCAGAGCAGCAGTCACCCGCCGTCCATCCCACGTCTTCATCGTCACCACCAACGCACCCTCATCACCATCCCAAACCCCTCGCAAGCAATCAATTCCCTGGTCAAGGTCGATGCCGTCAATCCACGGCTGCATCGCCGCATGGCCCCTCACTCTCGGGCTATCCCACATCTTCTTCTGTCCGTCGGGCACATTCAGCCTCGCATACCCAATCGACGCATTCCCCGAAAACGGATCCATGTGCGTCCACTCCCCAGCCTCATTCGTCTTCACATCATTCCTGGGATAAAACAGTCCGCCCTCCTCCCATGTTGGCTGCAGATGCTCGTCTGCATACTTGAGCAAACCTTTCAGCTCTTCCTTCTTGCCTAGTTCTGATAGCCATTGCACGACATACCCAAACGTAGGCGTGGAGAAGGGCATCTTTGATGGTGGAAGTGCAGCGGCACTGGCCCTGGCTCGAGCAAGAACCGAAGCGTCATTCTTGTCTGCCTTTTCAGTGTCTACGAGCTTTCGGTATTCTTGGGCGATGCGATCTTCTTGAAGCTGCACTTTGCCGTCGATGGAGGTGATGAAGCCGTATACCTGTTGGTCGTACAGCGACTTTACCGTTTCCGAGTTCCACGTATTCATATATGCGTTTGCCCTACAGACATTATCAGTATTGCGTACAAAATGGTAAAATCTCCTTCAGAGTAGGCCAGTCATGCTTACCATGCCGAGAAACCAACTGATTTTGGCGGTAATGTCTTGTCCTGTCGAACAAAATACCAGTCCACGTATAAGCCGCTGGGAGCCACCATACCCTTCTTCTCCCAAGCTGCCTTGTACTTTTCCAGGACTTGGTCAGACACGTTGGTGCCGTCTCTCGCATCGTTGTACTTCATTGCAATAATCTGTTTGCACGACATTAGCACCCGCTCATTCTTACTCATAGGCATCGTCCAGGAATACTTACAGGAAACTGGTTGCAAACGATGAAAACCAGATTCGGCTCGCAGCAAACACCAACCCAGCCATTCCTCTCCATCTCCCGAATAATAGCCTCCTGCAAGCTGCGGTTATCATAATGAAACGTCTCCGTCCCAAACCCAAAGAACAAGGGATCCCATCGAAACGTCAGAGACTCCGACTTCTCAAACTCGTCGTCGTCAAACAGCATGCCGTACAGACTCGTCATCAGCAAGAGATGGCCGCTGTACATGATGTTCTCCCTGACCACCGGATCAGCCCACGGCTTTCTCAGCTCCGTCCGGTCGGGATCCGTCCGGTTCCCCGAGAGACTGGTGTTGAACCAGTAAGACCACACCTCTCGACGCATCATCTTGTGGATGAGACGCCGCATGAGCGTCTTGAGGGAGCTTCTCAGGGCGGGCAGACGGTGGTAATGTGCGACGCCGACGGCATATGCCATGGTGGCGAGCTGGTAGCGGTAGGCGTCCAAGAACTCTTGCATCGGCTCCTGGGTTCCCATGTGATGCCATTCGCCGTCCATCTGGCTGGCGAGGTTGTGGAAGTGGCGTAAGTGCCCTGCTTGAGCAGCGTCGAGCTTGTCATATTTGGATAGGTCGAGGGAAAGGCCTGGTCTTGGAGTTGCGCCCATTTTGGCAATAAAATGATTGGAAAATCAATCCGATGTGCCGTTGTTCGGAAGCTCAGGGTTGTCGAGGTGATCCCATATATATGCCAGTACTTCCAGATTGTCTGGATACTGTCAGTATAGCAACCTAATGCACTTACACGCTCCCTCTCCTTACCTTTACTTGCTATGACTTAGACCCATGTCATCTTATGTGGGCACAGCTGCAAGATTTAACGCGATCTGTTTCCTCTTTCGGCCAAACCCACGACTGAAAGGACGACTCGGAATTGCGGTCGCAACATGCTCATCTATCAAGGCCGTGGCTTCACCTAACTATCTTATATATACAACTCCTTGAAAACCTTTCTTACCCAGTATTCGAGTGAGGCAGGAACTACCCAGCAACTTGTAAAGCCACTTTTCGCCATCTCCGAAATCCCCAGAATGCCCGGAAAAGCCACCAGGTCAATCCGTCTTCTCATTAGACTTTCCTTCTCCGCACGACGAGAAGCCTTACACGCCGTTACTCGATACCGCTGAATGCTTGAGGAAATGGCAAAAACACCGCGGTATTCTCTGAATTGTGCAGCTGAAAACCGTATTTATTATATCCGACGCAGGTCGGAAAGGAACTTGTGGGATACGATGCCAACCCCCTTGATGTATGACTTACACAAAATGCCGAGAACACCGATCCCGGCCAGCCGCGGACTCTCCACTCAACTCCTCGGGCTTTTCAAAATAAATCTTCGAGCAACAGATCGAGCATGGCTCCAGCCAAAGTGTTCACAATCGGCCATGTTTAGGATAAAAATTGATGCCCTGCTTGTTCAATTCATCAATAGCATGTAGACAGCGCCAACAGTTTGCCTCTTTGTCAGCGGACGTCAAATCGCCCCGCCGCGACTCATAACGTTCGATCACATCAAGGTAAAGCGGTAGTGTAAGCCGAGGGTGATATTAGGTATGTATTCTATGAGTCGTTGATTTCTGACATGATTGCGGGACATCATCACTCGCTCAATCAATCTGCAAATGCCATGGCTTTGTTTGTTCAGCTGCTCGGTTCGCTGTGACCAGCGTCTTCACCCTGCCAGCCCTCGACCGTATTCTTCTTCATCCTCAAAAACAGCAGAGTCAAAACAATGGCAGCAGCAGCAAGCCCTATGCCCAAGTAAGCAGCCCCTCGATAACCAGCCACCAGGTCGGATCCATCCTTGTTCACGTAGATCTCAACCGTTCCGGCAAACCCCAAGCCGGTGCTCAGACCATATGTAAACAAAGTTCCGATCAGAGAACCCGCTGTCCCCTGATGCCTTCTCGTCACGATGCTGCTGGCGATGATTTGTCCAGCAGCAAACACCATGTCTCCCGTGCATCCCGCCAAGATCATGCAGGGAACACCATTGCCCAGTACACCTGATGAATAGGCATCGTGGCAAGGAGAGTGTTCATCACCACAGCGCCCAAAGCGCTGATACACACCACCGTCTCCGCTGGTAGCCTGCGCACAACCCAGGCCGCGAAGAAAGCAGCCCCTGTGCCGCTGACCGCCATTGGCAAGAATGAACAGCCTAACAAGACCGGATCCCAATTTCGCAGGTTTGCCAGGAAGACGGTCACGTACCAGATGTATATTCCCAAGCTCATGAAGACAAAGAATAACACGATAATGAGGGCACCAAAGGATGGTACTGCCCAGATGTCGAAGGGGATGATTGGGCTAACTGCCCATTTCGTTTCCCAGATGAGGAAGACGGCAAAGTGGCCGATAGCGACGATGAGGAGTATGTATTCGTATGTGTTCTTCCAGCCGACTATGGGAGCTTGGCTGTGTGACTGTATGTCAGTATAAGAATGTCGGAGAGTTGAAAGATGCTCGACCTACTTCCAAACGAAGTTGAACAGGACCAGCCCAGCAACGCCGAGATATGACCCCACCCAGTCGATTTTGCCCCCGGGATCTAGGCGTTCGTCTTCCGGGACGGCGATGATTGCTGCACCATAAACGACGGCTACTAGAACAGCCCTGTACCACTGAATCAGCTTCATGGTCTTCTCTATCAGAATAAGGTAGAAGAGGTCTTACAGAAAAGAGAACAGCCAAGTCCAATCTGTCCATTGGAGAAAGAAGCCATTGAACACACAGCCCCCAGCACCGCCCACAGGCCCCATCGAGGCAAACAGCGCGAGCGCCAAGTTCCGCTGTCTGCCGGGAGGAAACGTTATTGTCAAAAGCGCAACAGCGTTGGGAACAAGGAGACCGCCTCCTATTCCCGCAAGCCCCCTCATGAAGCTGACGCCAACAATGTTGGTCCCGTAAGCCGTGGCCAGCGTCCAGAATATCCAAATGAAGGACCCTATGGACATTATTCTTTTATGGCCAAAGACAGTCCCAAGCCGTCCACTGATGAGGACGAACGAGCCTTGGGTGAGGGGATATGCTGCGGCGATCCAGGTAGATTGCGGGTCTGATGCCCCTATAGCGTGTCCGACTGTCAGTGCACCGACGATACCTGCTCCAAATGCAAACATTTGGACTGCTTGGGTGAGGACAATGAGGATCATGAAAGTATATGCCCTCTTTTTTGATATGGTTGTGGCGCGGGAGACGGTGTTGTTGAGTGCCGGAAGCTGTCCTCTTTCCGCATCCTCGCTTTCTTTCAGCCTTTGAGGGCTGGTATCCCCGAAAGAGTTTGTAGTTTGCCCTGGTGGACTAGGCTTCTCTTCGATGTTCGTGGGATCCCGGGCCTCTACTTCGACCAATGACGAAGAGTCATAGGGGGTGGTTTCTGACGACTCTGGCTTCGTGGAGAGTGTTGTGGCGGGGAGATGAGAAGCCATGTTGACTGTGTTGGATTGGGCAATGAGCTCTTCACACTCAGCAGCGAACACTTCTGAAGGATCAGCTTCTGAATCGCCTTTGACATCTTGGAAGGATTTCGTATAGAACAGTTATAACATATCAAGTCTCCAGCAGTCGGTTGCTAGTATAAGCGACGTCGAGATGCCTCACATCAGCTATGGAGACGATATTGGCATTTGTCAGCCGCGCATGTTTCAGCGTGAATTACATATGCTCCAGCCTGTTTGTCCTGTATATGTATGGAATAGGAGGTAAGGCCACATATTGAGACGAGGCAAAAGATGCGGTCCTTTATTTCCTATTTAGGCAATCCACCAGTTTCTGGCAGTCGACTACAAAGCGGGGCGTTCCATTCAGCGACAACCGTATTATACAGCAAGATTCGATCCAAGGGCTTCAGGCCTCGATAATGGATACAATTCTCATGAATGAAGTTGCTGTCATCAGGTTCAAGGAGTGGTGACTGAAACTTTCGACAGTGGTCTGTAGAGATGCCTTGGCGGCGTCCCGTGAGGGCATCACCTCTCGGACTTAGTATTGACAGCTTCAAAAATGCATCTCGGGGGTAAGGATGACCAAGCTGCACAAGTACTAGGTAGGAAGAAACACTTTTCATTCTCCTGGGCCTGCGTACAGTGAACTGTCGAGGCGTAGAGTCAACCAGTAGGAATAGAGTGATCATTGCACGTTCTAGCTCCCAGGAGGTTCTACAGTTCGTTTGCCATTATCGGTACCTTAGTAAAGAAGGTGAGTACCTAAGGTGCTAAAATACATGCAATCTGTGTTTGAAGTACTACTAGTAGTCCTTTATACATGGACATGCCATAACAGAGACGTAATGGCAGTTGCCGAGTGGTGAACGCACTCGATTTGGACAAAGTGTAAGTCTTCAGTAAATTCGTTCGTAGGCCACAACGTGCATCTTCCAACGTCCATGGTTACGCCACGCTTGAATATCCAGAAATATTACTTGCTTTACTCCCTTCTTCTTCCTCTGTATGATCTCTCTGTTACTAACGCTTATCATGGCTGATACTTCTCTGCTCCGGCCCCCGGCCCTTGATAGAAGGCAACGGGTAAAGGGACCAAGCCCGCTGTCAAGGTGGACGACAACGGCCGTGGCCCAGATCAAGATAACCAGCAATAAAAGCAACATCGGCGGGCCTCCAGACCGACCTTTTCTATGCTCTCAGGAATGTAGTCTTGGATAGCCGCTGCCGAAGAGACAGCAACCCGCTGACGCCCATGTCAGTGACCAATGCAAGCCTCAGACCCCCATTAAGCTACCCCACGACTTGATGAAGGCGGCGCATCTCAGCTAGGCGCTGGCAGAAGGTAAGATGCGACTACGATTTGCACGGCTGCTGTCTGCAGAGACACTCCGGAGCAACGTGCGCCTGTTGGCTGCGTATCTGGGATTCGATACAGTGACACAGCTGTACATCTTTGTCGACTTTGAAGGTAAGCGCTCCGCTATCCTTGTCCCCATGTTCTTGCAGGCGTTGTGTGGCCTGTTTGTCAGCCTCAAACTGGAGACTCACACGGGACTCCTATCCAGTGCCAAGGGTGCTCACCCAACTCCTTCGGATTTCCGTCGAGTATGGTCAGCGATTGCCACATAATCAACGGTCAACAGGACATACGGACGTCAGCTGCATCATCTCCCAAGCATCCAACGTGTAGGAGGGCTTCGGAGCGCTGCAACAGCGCTGGCCACGTATCAAGCAAACTCTTGACGAAGGAAAACCAGGTCAAGTGCTGGACTGGAATCCAGACCGCTTTGCACACGATGATGACTTCGCCTCTGCCTGCGATTACCCATTGTCGCTTTTTTCAGCCTGCTACAGACTGATCAAGGCGCACCCGCATCGGTTCTGTTAGAGCAACTCATTGGACCCGATAGAATGTGTCTGGGGCATTCACCAGGAAGACTGGATGCGGGCTCATGCGGTGATTGTCTTTACAATGACGAGACAGCTCACGATAGAAGGCATTGTCCGCAGCTGCGACCCAACGCTAAGCCTCGAATTTCAAAAACCGTACCACATAAGCATAGGCTCGGAAATCTATGGCTATGCCGCATCTGAAGAGCTGGCAGCTGGTGAATATCTACTCCGAAATTCCACACACGACGCCACGGAGATGCAGAAGATGTCACAGCGTGCAACGAACGAATAGATTGCGTTCGTACTACAAGAATCTGCCTCATGGCGATCCATAAGCGAATTCGAACAGTACGGCGTCCTGCAGGACACTTGGGGGGCATTGGCCGAGTTTGTGACAGATACCGTCTGCGCAGCCCTCGATTCTATTACCCCTAGCATAGACTGGTCCCTCGATATCGACAGCGAAAGAGTACAGTCGGACGTGACGCCAATGAAACCGGAACAGTTGTTGAATCTAAAGAAGTGGCTTAATGAACAGGTGCAGCAGGAAAAACATGGCCCAGGAAAACCTGCGGACAATGGGACATTGCCTCTCAGCACTGCCGACTCTGGGCTAGATAGATTGCAAGAGATGCAGGCTTTGTTGGGATACGCTCCCCGATTCAATGAAGAAGACCTTTTCGATGTTTGCAGACAGAGAGGGTTTGGCGTGTACAACATGGCCACAAAGACGGGATTGCGGGCACATCACATCTCAGGTATGCCCCCTGCCTTTATTGCGACTATGGTAGCTTCGAACCCAGAAGCTTCTTTGTCTAGGCAAGGTAGATGGGGACGAATCTAACGTGAGTGGCAGACGCAAATCAAGGGGCACAACTCCTGGGAGGACCTCTGCGATGCGCCGTGCTCTTCAGCCAGTGCGGCACCGGCAAGACACGCGTGATGCTGCTGGCACTCAAGTTTTTGATTGAAGAAGAATCATTTTCTCTCCGATCTTGAACCATTCAAGCCTAATGTTATCATTATGCCCTTGGCCAAGTTTGGCACAACTGTGAGGGAAGTCGAACTTCGATGGCATGAGGTGTTTGATATTTGGATGCTCTGTCATCCTAGAGACGGCATCCAAGTCACGCACCACAGGACAGCCAACAGCCGTGAGGAATTCCAGCAGCGCATCAACAACTGGGAAGCGACGAGGAGGGACGAGACGGTCGCCCGCGTCCTCCTTTTGGCATCCTATGAGAGCTGGCGAGAGTTCTCTCCGGTTTTACAAAGCAGCCACCCGATGGCAAGTCAGAAGACGGAGAAGGAGAAGGATATGGAGGCCAGTAGAGAGCCCCTATGGAATGTCGTTGCTCTTGACGAGTGTCAAGTCTTGCAAGGCAAAACCAATTGGTACAGGGACATGGTCATGCATGTGGAGCGGGAGGCCCTGCTTCTTGTGTCCGCGCACCCGTTTCTCACTCTTCGAGACATACATGCCTATCTTCGAGTAGTGTGGAACCCAGCCTGGCCGTTTGGATATCATTTCGATCCAGATCTGGTCATCTTGGGCTTCTCCATGATCCGACGACGTACAGACGCTTGATATTGCAGAAGCCATTGACGGGATTACTCTGGACCGCTTGGTTACCGCGGGCTCCGAGGCGGACAGCGATACCTGTGAAAGCTTGACGCATTGGTAAAAGTTGCGTTGCGGCGAGTTCAAGATCTACGTTCTCAAAGGATGCGGGCCGGCTTACCTACTTCGTCCGGAGCTTTTCAGTGACGTCGAGGTTCTCTCAAGACAGGGCAATGCTTCCCTGGGAGAGGTAACCAAGCAAATCTTGGCCATGATATCCGTGAGGCGAGGCATGTTCACGCCCTTGAGGCTCCCCGATGGTAATATTATATACCCAGGGAAGGGCGTTGGTCATCTGGCCATCCGGACCGTTGAGCTCGTACCGCCAGCATTAGTGAAGCAAAGCCTCCGGGAATCCATGTCTTTGATGGATCAATACATCTCCAACACTCTTGAACGAGTACTGGGCGATCCTGTTCTGGTCGGCACTCCACCGCAGGTGCTTCTTCGCCAACTGTCTATGATGACCACCGACGTCAAGAGTATGGCTCTGACCCTTCCGACACAGCGCCTAATATGGAGCCTAGCTATCCTACAGGAGAGCGTGCAGAGAGATCCCATATCCATTGATACGACAGGTGGGCTTCAGTGGCTGTTTTGTAATACGAAGGCATTGCGGATACATGAGTTCCCCCCCAACAAGCTGACTCTAGTCAAGTATGTTGCTTCGGATAGCCCGAAATATTGCCATGTGCTGCTGAGGGCACTCCGGTGCCACGAAGAAGAGGACAGGCTCTTGATTTATACGGATTCCCCACTGACGAGTCGGTAAGTTGGCTGTTCTGCACTGTACCATTTTCTTTGCACCCACCATCCTCAACTCACAAGGCCCTTGATAACTGTCTTTACTGGGACGATGAAGGTAACCGTTGGCTGGTAGGATCCTCAACGCACTGCTCGTGGCTTGCGGCATCAGGACTCTTCACCTTACATCGAGGCACACCCAAGCGGAGGGTGGACCGGGCCGTCAGGGTGTTGACCCACAAGTTCTCGCCGGTTACATGCCTCGTGACTACCTTTCAGGTCTTGGGCCTCGGTGTGAGCTTGCATGAATTCTGCCGTCGAGGAATCATCGTGGCACTACCGCAGAACCATGCGATGCTCCTTAGTGCAATAGGCCGGCTTTGGCAAATCGGACAGGAGTATTCACGGAGTCACAGAAGCGGGATGCGATGGGACTAGACGACAGTCGTGCCGCGGACCCACGGGATGTTTCAGTCGGCGCTGGGCAGGTTTTGTCTCAAGCACCCGGACAAGGCTCACTTGATTCAGCCACACAGGTATGGCGCTCTTTTGCGTATCTGGAAGGTTGGGATGGACATTACCTTGACGATGGTGGAAGGTTTGTAACCGGCGGAATCTCGAGACGAATATTAGAGGTCGGGTATGAATGTGCGGTGTTGCCGAAGCCTTGTGCACTCTACTTGTGATAGATGCCGCGGTTGCTTGGTTAAGGAGCGTTTGGTTTATTGTTGGAATGCATGATATGGTATTCGTCAGGCCGCCTTGGATCAATGGTAGCTGATATCTAAGGGTTGCTGACAACAGACTGTGATGACAGGTGCGATTTCACGTGTAAATCCTGCGGAATATCTCGGCGTGAACACATTGAGCAACGTACATACACGGCCACATTGAGAGAAACACATGTTGGAGCTGCCTGCCCTGCCAAGCCGGTTCAAGCACATGAAAGAAGTCGACAAAGAAGAAACAGAAAGCCAAGAAAAGAGCCGCGGCAGCAGCCGTGTGCTGTTTACCCCAGATCTCGCTTCTCCGCACATTTAGCTCCAGCTTTCCCCCGCAAAACAACATGCAGATGAAGATCCTAGCAGAGGAAAAGAAAAAGACAACGGATCATGTACCGGATAATTGAGTAAAACAAGATGAAGATTTTCATGAGGTTTTGCCTTGTGCGGACTGGTGCTTGTTGGAGCAAGGTTTGTGAGCTGCCTGATTTGGGTAGGGGGGTCCGGATAAAGGGGGTGTTGATGGTTGATCGGTGTTGGTATGGGGGATGGTGGTTGTTTATGTGCAAATACGAGGGCGATGAGAGTTTGCATGGTGTGGTTGAATAAATGAGATGAGATGACTTTGGTGAGTAGATGATGGAATTGGGGTTAAGTAGGGGTGGAGGACGTGAGATGGGTGAAGGTGCGTTGGCTGAGTTGGATTGGGTGAATTGAGGGACGGGATGGATGGATGGGTGTAAGTGAGCAATTGGTAGGGGAGACGAGGGTATATAAGGATCGTGGACGGCTGTCATGATGAACACTGAGTTGCTGATCTTGTGTTACTTGCTGTTTTGCCCTAACTTTGTCATTCTTAACAAGGTCAATTACCCTCCTGTTATACATCTCATCAATCATATACAGCCTATCCAACAAACATCATCAACACTAGCAAACCATGCAACTCCAATTCGCCCTCCTCCCCCTCCTCCCAACCCTCCTCCTCACAACCGCCCAAGCCACCACCGACCCAACAAACCCCATCCTCACAGCCCTCACCTCCATCTCGGCGCACACAACAACCCTCAACACGACAGTCTCCACCTGGACCGGCTCCCCGCTCACCCTCCTGACCATCACCGCCCAGTCCGGCACCCTCCTCGAGAGCATCTACGCCGGCACGCACGCGGCCTCGCGCGCGGCGAACCTCACCCTCGACGAGACGCTCGCCGTGGCCTCGGCGACAGTCACCCTCGCCACGGACGTCAACCAGACCATCACCAGCATCATCCGGGCGAAGCACAAGTTTGACGCCTTGCTGGTTGCGGATCCGGTCGTGCTGCTGAACTTGCAGCTCGAGAGGGATGCGTCCAAGGAGTTTGCGGCCAAGGTTGTGGAAAAGGTGCCGGTGGACTTGCAGAGTGTTGCGGAGGGGTTGACAAAGGGGATTGATGATAGCTTTGCGGAGGGGATTGCTGCGTTTGAGGTTTTGTGAGCTTTTCTTGATGGGTGTTGGCTAGATGTCTGTGAGAAGATGAATAGGGGGGGGCTATTGGGGATATATATCTGGTTGTTAATGTGTTGAGTCGGTTATGGTGGAAGATGAAATAGCGGTGGTAACTTTCATCGATGAAATGTCATGACGCTTTTTGATTTCACCACGTTCATGATTTCGTATATACAGGCCCGTGCTTGTCCAATTCCTCTCAATCCATCTCATCCACCGTCTGCGCATCAAAGCCAACCCCATCCCCCACAACCGCCCGCCCGTCCTCCTCGCTCACCGCAAACCGCCACCCAAACTTGTCCTCCACCTTGCCCAGCTGGATGCTCTTGAGCGCCGTCAGCACCTTCAAGCACACCGGCCCCGCGTCCTCCACGTCGTCAGGGATATACGTCACCGTCTCTGCGCCGTCCGCCGTCCTCGTCACCTTGGGACCGTCGGCGAGGCCGCTCGTGCCGCGGCGCGTGATGCTCCGGATGGGCACCAGCGCGGCGGCCGTGCCCGCGGCAAAGACCTCGCTGAAGGAGGGCAGCTCGGCGTACTTGATGACGCGCTTCTCGACCTTCCAGCCGTAGCTCTGCGCGAGCGCCAGCACGCTGCTGCTCGTCACGCTGTCGATGACGCACTTGGAGTCGGGCACGACCAGCGTCACGCCGTCGTCGTCCTTGTCGCCGGCGGCGGCGCCCGTCTTGACGCCGATGAAGCCGCTGGTGCTGAACTCGTCAATGTCCTCGTGCTTGGCGCTGTCCAGGTGCAGCGTGATGCCGAAGCCCTCGGCGCGCGCCTTGTCGCTCCAGCGCAGCACAGGCGCATAGTTGCCGCCGACCTTGGCATGCCCGGTGCCGTTGGGCGCGGCGCGGTCAAACTCGTCCAGCACGAGCGCCTTGACGGGATGCGACCCGTGGTAGACGCCCGTCGGGATGACGAAGACGCAGAAGGTGTACTCCTCGGGCGCCGACAGCCCCAGCTGGGCGCTGGACCCGTAGATCTGCGGGCGGATGTACATGGCCGCGCCCGTCTCGTGCGGCGGCACGTAGCCGGCGTTGAGGGCGACGGCGGCCTTGACGGCCTGCAGGAAGAGCTCGACGGGCACGGGCGGCATGCAGGCGACCTCGGCCGAGTGCTGCAGGCGCGCGGCGTTGCGGTCCGGGCGGAAGATGGCGATGCTGGCGTCGCCAGGCATGCGGAAGGCCTTGAGCCCCTCGTAGGCCTGCTGCCCGTAGTTGAGCGCCGGGGCCATGCCGTGGATGCGCATGTACGGGTCCGCGACGAACCTGAGGGGCGTCCACGCGCCCGTCTTGACGGAGTAGGTCGATTCGACGTGGCCGTTGACTGTTGTGATTGTGACGCAAAAACGCATTAGGAACTATGTTCTGGATTTTGTGGTTTGGGTCGAGACGGTATTACCTTCGCGGACGCGGAAGCCGACGTTGGACCAGTCAATGGTGTTGACCGGCGGCGGAGGAAAGGCGCCCATTTCGCCCATTTTGAAAAGAGTGTTTCTTTACGTTGGAGGTGTAATGTGGTGTTTTTTGCGACAGAGTTTTGAAGCAATTCGGAGTTTGAGCAACTGCCAGAAGCCCAGCTGCTTAGGTGGGTAGCGGGAGGAGAGGGAAGAGAAGCGCCACGCCGATCACTGTAAGAACCCAAATCCCCAACCCAATTCTTTTCAAAGCACACAAGCAACAATTCAATCTAGAAAAGGGCAAGAAAAGGAGGATGGGAAAAAAAGAAACAGATTGAAGATATGTGGCCAATTGCTCCTCTATCGTATCAACCGGCTCAATTTCTTACCTACATATTGCAGGCAGGGGGAGTCATTCATCCAGAAGAAGCAGCTGTTTTGCCCATCCCACCTCAGGAAAAAGAAGCCGATTTCGCTGCTTGGGCCCCTCCGTTTCCGGCCTTGGGTCTAGGACTTGGTACGGGGTTGGGTCTAACTCCGCATGTGTGTTTCCCCGGATCATGGAATGCAAAGAGCGAACACGGACCGCTGCACGAACGACATGAAATGACATTGGTAAAGTGCGGTGCGGCTTCACTTTGCACGCCGAGTGATTTGAAGGAGAGGGACAAAATAGAGAGGAGTCAATATTAATCTTGGACATGGGCGTTGTGGGCCAGCCGAGACTGGAAAGAAGTGAGCCGCACCTTTTTCCAAAGCGTCCGTGTAAATGCAGTCATGCGATTCAACAATCTCTCATATCCAGATCCATCATCAAATGACATCTCACCTCGTTTGAACATTCATTAGCAGACTACCAGTAGCACGCCCGGGAGTAGCTTCAACCCATCCATCCCCATTCAGCTCTACATCAGCTATTAGTATCAGTTGAGCTCCAACTTACATCATCCCACTCCATCGACCAACCCAGCTCCTCATCGACCATCTCCATCTATTTCTATACCCAGACACACACGCACACACACACACACACACCCTCACTCTTCCCCACACTCAGCCTCACCCAATCAGCCCTCTCAGTCTCCTCCTATCCAGTGGCTCACAACTTTCAACACCAACTCGCTCCCAACGCCTAGCCGCGGGACCAAGCCTCGAATTAACTTTGCTAGCTTCAACGGAATAGTCTCCGAGCCCGAGTTCCGTACCTCCATCATACGATCTACGGCATACCATTGCCGGAACTTTCTGTTCTGGGGACCTACCCATCTAGTAGTTATATCAGACTATCCATTGGCACGGAGAATGGCTCGCTTGCTTGGACGGCAAATAGCCGAACTGCGACTTTATACATTCTGAGGACACATACACACACACACAAAAGAAAAAAAAAAGACTTGTTCCATAGAGACTCCATTTTGATGCACGCGAGCGCTATCCGTAAAGCTATATCCATGCCTGCCCGCCAATGCCCGTCTATCCCTCCGCCAATACAATGAACCGAAACAGGAGGGAAGACATAAGAAACACTAAAATACATGTAGAAACAACGCGAATATGATGCTTACACTACAGGCTGGCTGGCACCTTGTGATGAAACGATACTACTTTGTTTTTCCACCTTTCAATCTTCGACTCATTGCTCCATTTTATACGGATGCAAAAGGGGTACTCGTGCTATGAAATGCCCATCCTTCGTGTAGACGATGCTCTGAGGCTTGTCCAGATATATCATTCAAACTCCACCGAAAACCGTATGCCTCCTTTTCATATACCAGAGACGCCTTGCGCGATAAGAACAAGTAGAAACAAAGAGGCAAGTAGAACAACTGCGAATGGGAAAAGGAGAGTGGTGAGAGAGACTAGAGAAAGACCGCGGCAAGAATTGTAACCTATGAAACCGATGCCAGTCGCTGAAGGCAGTTCAAGACACCTAAACACAACCATTAGTACTCTTGTCCATGATAGATCGACAGCTTGTCACATAGACTTACCGCTCACGCCCTGGGTCAAGGTAGCCGCTGCCTCGGTGCTTCGGCTGCCGAGGCTCACGGTTATGACATTCTTGATCTGGTTCTGGTCGCCCAGGCTGTTCGCCCACTTGAACACCTTCTCGTCTTCTCGTCCGTCACCGACAACCATCAGAAAGTCGACGGGCTGCTCGTGAACCTCGTCCGACTTCATGTGCTCTCCCAGCTGCTTGAACACTCGCTGAGCCGCAGTGCACTTGGTCCAGTCCAGGGGCTCAACCACGATGGCTCCGTCCGTTGCCACGGCATGCACCCGCAGCGACTCGCAGGCATCGTTGACGTGGCTGGCACAGTCAGAGGCCTGGCGGGACGCCGATTCGTAGTCCTCGGCGTTGTTGTAGTGGAACAGCAGGCTGCACCGCCTCTCCTCCACATGGGTACCCGGTGTTCTCTCCAGATAGTATTGCATGATGGGCTTGACTGACTCCTTCCAGTTGGTAATTTGGTCCGCGTCCGCCATCGCCACCCACTGTTCCTGGCCGCAGTCCTTGAGGAAGCAGCCGTTCTCGGCAATCAGGCCCAGGTTGGGCACGCGGCGGAATACCCGATCCAGCTCCTCCGGCCGTCGACCAGACATGACGTAAACAGTATTCCGCTCGTCTAGCAACAGGTCGTTGAGAACATCGAGGGTCCGCTGTGGGCTGACTGGGATAATCTGATTCACGGGGCCCCAGCTGACCAGGGTGCCCTCGTAATCGAGAATGAATAGTCGTCTCTGGGAACTCGTGTACTTGGCAGTGACAGAGCTCATCGAGAGGCGCGGCACGTACGTCTGGTCGCGCTTGTGCTGCTCTTCGTATGAACGATCCAGGTGGCTGAGGAATTCGCTGAACCAGTGCGAGCCCGTCTGGTGCGCAACAGACTGGTAGAGCTTCTCCCACCGACGCGTCTTTTCCTCCTCGCCCATCTCCAGCGCCTGCTTGATGGCGTCGGCGCACTGGCGGTAATCCCAGGGGTTGACCGACAACTCGTTGCGTCCAAACAGCGACGAAGTGCCAGTAAACTCTGACAAAATGAGGGAACCGTGCTTCTTGTCGGGGAGAATCTTGCCATCCTGGCAGAAGAGATATTCGTGCGAGGTCAGGTTCATGCCTTCACGCTGGCTGGTGATCATGAGCGCATCGGCGATGGTGAGCAGGGCAAGGTACTGGGCGTAGTCAATGTCCTGCTTGAGATAGACGACGGGCTGATACGCCAGATTTGCCCACGTCGAGTTCACGCGCGTAACGATGTCGGAGACGGCAGCATCCAGCTCGGTAGGCTCACCCGCAGACAGCGCCACCTGGATCAGGACAGTGTTCTCGCGCCATTCCGGATTCTTATTCAGGAACAGCTCGTATGCCAACAACTTTTGCCTGACGCCTCGCACGTGGTCGAGCTTGTCTCGTGCGACGATGAGCTTCTTTCCTTGGTAGCGCTCCTGCATGACGGCCAGCCACTTCCTGACCTCGTTTTCCTCGCGGTGCTTGTTCAGGCTAACGGGATCGATGCCGATGGCGTTGTGCACCACGTCGACGAATCGGTCCTCCAGCTGAATGCCCTCTGGCGTTGCTTCGACGGTTAGGATGCGGCTGCAAGTGAGCAAGAAGTGCCGCGTGTACTCCTGGATTTGAAAGCCAATGAGGTTGGCTCCCAGCATGCCCTCAAGAAGCTCCTTTCGAACAGCCAAGCAGCGGAAGACCTCGGACGAGGGAAAGGCAACGTGCAGGAAGAAGCCAATCTTGGCCTCGGGCAGCTTCTTGCGGATCATGCCGGGCACAAGCAGCAGGTGGTAGTCGTGGATCCAGATGACATCGCCGCGCTTCCAGTTCTGGATAATCTTGTCGGCAAAGGCCTGGTTGACCTTGACGTAGTACTTCCACGAGTGGTCCTCGTACGCCTTGCTCTTGGGGTTGTCGGGGATCTGGTAGTGGAAGACGGGCCAGAGCATCTGCTTGCAAAAGTGGGTGTAGTGGCCATCAAAGTCCTTGTCGGAACAGAAGACGGTCAGCATGTCGTACTCGGTAGCCAGCGTATCCTCAATGTCCTGCTTCTGCTGGGTGCCCTCGAGAGCGTCGGTGGGCATGCCCAGGGTGCCGACCCAGGTGTAGTCGGACAGCTTTCCATCGCGAGCGGCGGCCAGGGCAGCGTTGCGAAGGCCGCCGTTGCCCTGGTCGGCGTCGACGACGCGCCACTGAGCCGTGGCAAAGACCTTGTCGTGGCTCTCGCTACGCATCAGCGTCCGGGGCTTGTCAATGCCTCGACGGCCCATCTCGGTGGCCTTCTGCAGCGTCCGGCTGCTCTCAAAGATGTCGGCCGGCGGCGGCGTGCTGGCGCGAGACTTGGGCTGGTCGGCACGACCGCCCCAGATCTTGGTCTTGTCGGTGGGCGAGTCGCCGCTGTGTGGGAACTGGATGCGAAAGCCATCTTCGTTGGCAAAGGGATCGGGAGAACTAGGCTCGTCGACCGGGGTGTGCGGCGGGGTGATGTCGGGTCGCGGAGTGAAGAGGCTGGGCTGGACGTCGACGGGGGGGACCGCGGGCGGTTTGGGCGGCTCAAAGGCCTTTTGGCGCTTCGTGAGCGTGTGTCGCCGGCGAGAGTTGCCCGGCAGGTTGAATTGGATGGTCTTGGGCAGAAAGCTGTGATGGACGAAATGACGTGCATTAGCCTCAGTAGCGCGGATGTCGTAGCAGCAGCGGCCACCAGCAAGCCGGGAAAAGAAGAGAGGAAGAGGCGGGCAGACCAAGCATGAAGCAGGGTTATTGTGACAGCTCGACTTACAGAGAGCAGATAAAGACCGTCATGGTGGGCAACGGCTTGTTGGGCGCAGACTAGAGCCAAAACTGCGAGACAGCAAAAGTCTCGGGCGGGAGGATGATCTTGGTCGTCTGGTCAAGATGGCGACGACAAGACTTGGCTGCGACAAGTCGACAGGCGATGAGTAGCAGAAACGAGGCCGTAAGAAAGTGAACGATACCGGGCCGCTCGTTTCCGCTGGGTGGCAGGTTGAAGCTGGGTATCGGCTATGGCAGAGACATACGGGTGTAGTAGCTGCTCTCCAAGGTCGTCGATGGAGAGAAGAGAGTCGTAGTTGCTGTCGAGCTTGCAAACAGGTGAGCCAGAGGAACAACGACGAGATGTTTTGTTTGTGAAGAAGGAGGAAGCAGCAGAAGAGGAAGAGGAAGAAGAAGGTTCTCGAGACGAACAGAAAAACAAGGCACAACTAATAAGAGCTGGGCAGCAAAACAGGCCGTCCGGTGCTTTTCTTAGCCTCTTAGCAGTGGGCAAGGGAGCAGCAACTGCGGAGCCTTTTTCTTTTTATAAGGCAGGCCAGGACAAGACAGGAGGTCCACCTGCTTAGGCCGGCGGCTGTGATAGGTTGGGGCGTGCAAAGAGGCGGGTGAGAAGTGATATCAAGGCGGGACAGCACGAAACTAGAGGGGAGCAGCAGAGAGCGATAGACTTTGAGGCGTGAGATGTGAATGAGCAGCGCGGACAGCGTAGTTGTAGATCAATGGGAAGTAGAGCAAGACAAGATGCCGTACCAACCACTTGGTAGGTAGGTTGAGAGGGAGGGCGTGGGCGAGGCTTTTGGCGCTGTGCTGCCGCGCGAGGCTTCGCGGGACTGATCGGGATGCGCTGGATTGGAGCTGCAGAACAGAGCAGAAAAAAAAAATGTTTCGGCTGGCCCGCCTGTCGTGTCACCAGCAGCAACGCTGGGAGGCTCGAGGCGGGGGTCCCTGGTCGCTCCTTGGGATCTTCGTTGGTGTCGTAACTTTTTTTCCTGACCTTGCTTGTCTTTTTACTCGATCGAGTTTGATTTTGGCAGCCGGTTCCCCCTCGCGACAGGGATACAGATTCGGTATGAAACGTGCACAGAATTTGGAGAAGGAAAAGTGACAGGGGTGTGGTGATAGTAGGGACAAAAGCAGTAAACAAGCAAGAAAAGCAGAGCAGCAAAACGATGACGGCTGAATTGAGTTCTCGCCACTTACCTTGTTCTGAGCGCGGATAAGCTGACTCTGTGATGTCCGTCTGGTTCTGATTGGAATTGATGTTCCAAAAGGTAAGGGAAAATAGGCAAGGGGAAAACAGTTTTATTGTCAAGGAACCGCTGCCGGTTTAAAGCAACAACCAACTCTGACGTAATGGCTCGCGAAGCTGGGCAGACCCGATTGCGGTGGAGGTCAATTGCTCAAGGCTGACGTCCTCGATGCCCGGATAATTGTGGGAAGCGTTCAGACGGCTGGAGATTTTGGTCCGTTTGCTTCTTCGTCAGTGCTGAACCAGGGGGGAGCCGGTGTCCGTTATGTAAAATGCAAAACGGCGGCAAATGGGCGTTCGGAACTGCAACGTTCGCTCGCCAGTCCGTTTGCTGGGCGCTGCTGGCTAGGCTGTCTTGGGCCGAGGGGGGCGTTGTTGGTTGATGCTTGGCCCAGAAGCATCGCGACACGCCTCACCCACTCTGGCCCTCCCGCATCGTGGCAGCTGTGCTGGTCACTGTGCAGCCATGCAATCACATGTGCGTACCTATTATGTGCTGCGTTCCTGCAAGTCCGAAGCGGCTCACGACATCAGAGCCAGAGAACGACTTCATGCTGTCATCATTGTGCCTCTGTATCCCGGACATCTCCTATCGGGACGGTTCGTCCTGCTTCTGAGCTTGAGGCTGCTCACCTCGCACGCGGCACAAGCTGCAAGACAGAAGAACAAAAGCACTCGGCCAACCAGGCCACACCTCCCGGGTCCGACTTCGCTCCTGTCAAAAATAGCAATGTCTTTGACACCAAGCTTCGTTCTCTTTCAGGATTGGGTGTGATGACAAGGCTCAATCAGCGTGTATCGTGTGAGAACCACGCGCTTACACCAACTCTCATGCCCATGACCCTTTTCCCGCGGCCTCCTCTGTGCACGCAGCTCCAAGGTGGTCGCACAAACAACTCCGTGCCTCTGCGCTGGATCGCATTTTGGGAATCCGCTGCTAGGTCTTGTGCTCGGCCGGCGCCTTTTATTGCGCCAGGCTGCGCAAAACGACAGGCTGGCGAGGCGCGGGCTGGGACGTTGATGGTGAATCACAGGCAGCCCCAAAGGACTTTTGAGTCGCACGGCATGGCATCATCACCGGTGCTTTTGCTGGTGCGACTGGTTCCCTGCTTTTACTGCGACGGAAGCTAAAGAGCTGGTGCATGTCTGTGCGGGCCGATGATGACTCGGATTCGATTTGCCCCGTGCTTTCTGCTCCCAGGCCGTGCCGTCCAAGTACGAGTATTGAATGGTGATCAACGTCTCGTGAAGGATCAAGGCGAGGTCTGGTACTGTAGCCTATCATCATACCTACCTATCACCGATGGCTAAGAAGCAGCGCTAGAGAGATGACTCTAGGATGATGCTGTTCGTGACCGTTACAGGCGTTGTACCTGTGCGAGTACCGTCGCGATCGAGATATAACTTCTAACGGGCACATGGAATCGTCGTTCCGGAATGGTAACGCTCCAAGAACCCTGTCGGCCGGGTGTTTGCGGCCCGGGAAGAAGCGTCACGATGGACCAGGGCCAGCTCCGGCCCAAACGAGAGGGCGGAATCACATACTTCGAGGGGCAAGAGAATGGAAGAAAAAAATACAGCTGTTCACGATGTTCCCATACAGGGTACGGAGTACATAGTAATCAAACACACAAATTAGTACCGTACAACAGCAGCTAGCAACTGCTGGATTCCGCGTCCCAACAGAGAGGCAGGATATGGGCGCCTCTCCCGCACTTCGTTTACATCCCTCCAGCTCCTCCCGCCACCGCCCCCCTTCGACAAAAGCATGGCAGGCAAAAAAGGTACCTACCACTCCCCGGGTACAGACACGTGTGATTGAGCGCTTTTTGGACTCTGCGCAGTTCCTGAGCTCCGTCAGTGGCAGCCTCCGGGGTCAAAGGCGCAGCCAGAGAGAGAGGGAGCAGAAGTCGCAAAAGGCAAGACTACCTTACGAGTTACGAGTACGTAGAACAGCACTGGGATGATACCGCCGGGGCTTGTTTGTGCCCAACGGGCTCCCAATCGGCCCCGTTTCGGATGGATCTCTGTCCAGTCGTTGCCGTTTCCAGGAGCTGCGTCTTTCTACGATTCATTCTTGGCCCTTCGATTGCTCACGCGCCGGCGCTTGTGGTTTCTTTGGCCGGATCTCGATCTGCCATGTAGTATCCATTTTCCCGTCAAGTCCATGCCTCCTGTGTCGATGCTATCATGTACTAGTTTCCTCTTGATATCCTGCTCATGGTGTAGTATCTCGTGCAACTCGAGGAGACCCGCCTCGAGCTCCGGCAAGCCCAGCTCCTCTCCTAATCCCATCATGCGACTATTCCCAGCAAACTTTCAGCTAAGAGCCAAGCCAAAAGCCATCACCAAACAATGCCCACAACAGTCAAAGCCTCTCTACTCTTTTCTACAAAGCAGAAACCCACGAAAAAAAAGCCTCTTCACCTTAGCCGCCCTGGTAGCGGATCGACGGACAGAGAAGCAGCCCCATCGGCGGGGGTGGAGATACGATGGACCCAGAAAATGCCACTTGCATTGGCACTGTTGCTTCTTTTCTTTTGTTTTTTCTTTCTGTCGTTTTCTCCGATTTTCTTGGTGGTTCCCTCGGTTTGGTTCCTTTTCATGGGCTTCCATGTTCCTTTGTTCCGTTCCCCGTTACATTGGCATTTCTGAACAGCCGAGTGAGCTCCGGCTGGCCGTACCGTTACGGGCGTGACGAGGCGCCCTCTCCTCCCGATGGCGATAATTAACCCCAGCCGTTGTCACGGCGCGAGTAATACGTCCTCCCGCGAACTGCCAAGTTGTCAGTCTAAGTACGTCAGTTGGTAGTACCGGTAAGATTGCAGACTGTACCTCGCCGTCAGGTACTTTACCTCGAAGCGAATACGGCGCTCGTACACGGCAGGATGGTATCAAATAGGCCTCCGTCTTGTTACCGTTTCCCTTTTCCCCAACACAAACGGCCCGGGGTCAAACAGAGCCTGCAGATCCGTAGGAGTAAGCCTCACTAGCGATCCGCTCCCCCTGGTCTGGTCTGGTCTGGTCAGGACGGAATACCTAGCCTGCCTGCTTGCTTGCTTGCTTGCTTGCATGAGGCAATCAATCACCCTGCCTTGTCCCAACAACGACGACTACATACCCAGAATCACTCTAATACCACTTCGTACTGCGGCCACGATGGCTTGCTCCTACGGGCTAACTCTTTGACGGAGATGTGTCAAGCATACCCTCGTTCCGTCGTCCTCATTCGTCTTAAGAGTTCCCCGATGTCATCCTATGCATGAAAAAACAAAAAAAAAAAAAAAAACAAGTCAATAGCAGCGCATTCACATGCAAAGCACGGAACCCAAAACCAGATTCCTCCTCCTCCATCTTCCCCCTTAAACCTGAGCCGGCATATCAAACACATCCCATCTCAAAGCCTACATACCTCCCTATCAGATGCGTTGTTTTCTCCTTTACCCTCCCCAGCATCGTCCATTCCCTCCCTCCACGTTTGTCTCCCGACCTGTATCATTGGCCCTGTCGATCCCTGCATGCTCTTGTGGCAAAAGCAAGGACAAGCAAATCACGAAATCTCATCTATCCGCTGCCTCGGATTGGAGATCAAAGTACCCCCCTCCCCTTCTTGCTTTTTCTGGTATACTTGTACAGTATCTGTGTGCCATGCAACCCATGCGCAGCCGGTAAGGTAGTAGACTAATACCTCACCTTATTCCATACCTCTCCCTCCTCCTCCATACAACTCCCTGAACTATACAGGTATAACAACGTATGTATTAGCCCGCCTTATCCGGATATATTGCAATTGCGCTCAAAGAATCCTACTCTGCTCTCCCACATCTCCTTCCAACGCTCTTTGATACGGCCCCCTCAACTCATGTCCGCGTCCTTGCGTCTATATGACATCTCAGTACCTACCTATCACCCAATCTATCTACAAAGTTTGAGGAAGGAAGCAATAACCTCCGGAGGCAGCCCATACAGTACGTGTCATCTTGTGTAACGCCCATTGAAAAGAAAAAGATCCAACTGGCCACCGCAGTTCCACGCAGATAACCAAGGCAAGCCATTCGAGAGTCCAAACTTGACACATCAACCGGGAAGTATTCCCGGACGAGACGCTCCCGCGCGGAGGTATTCGTCTCCCGATGACGGGCCACACTCAGGCATCATGAATGAAGCACCGCTTACAGTCTCCAGCACTAACCTAACCCTACCATATAGTCGTACCTGTAAGTCCATCTTACATCGTGGTCCGTTGAAGAAACGTTTTGATCTACCGGACCTCCTCCCGTATGAGTCTACCCGTCTCCCCCCATCCCGGAGCAATCTTCAGCACCTAGCAGTACCTTAGTAGCCCAAGCCTCATCATAGGTAATAAGCTCACACATAATACTCCATACAAGTAACATACTAAAATACATAGTATAACGTAAAGCCAAACTAAAATGTCACTTGGCGTTCCGTCAAGGACATCCATCGCCACCACTATCACAAAAAGCTTCTCATCATATCTTACCCCGCACGAGCAATCCCCTGTTTATCATACGTGATCTCCAATCAAGGAAACGTCCCAAGATAAATTCCCGGCTTGCCTAGAGGGGATATACGACTGCGCCGCAAGAGCTGTCAGCAAGTCAAGCTCCTCCTAATAATGGCCCCCATTCCATCCTGATCTTATACGCGTCAAGTAGGGCGTTGTCTGGGTGGTTTCACATAGGCAGAACGACGCAGCAGTGGGCGCAGGCTTGGCTCTCGTTGGAATTGTCCCTTGGCACACGCTCCCGTCCAATGGCATTCTTCACATCCAGTGCTCTCCACGAGTCATCTTCATGCAATGTCACATTCGCCCTGTTCTATCAGTTACCAAGCTGCTGCGCCGCTCATCCCGTAACCCTCTCTACAGAGTCTAGACCCAGTGCCTGCACGTAATCAATCCCCCGACTGGACGCCCGTAAACACACATGCCAAAACATTTTGTGATATGTCCCCATGATCGCCATCAATTCATCCAGAGCCGTACGGCCTTGTCTTTACCTCCGCTGCCAACTCGTTGTCCGTCCGGACTCCAATCAACCTGGCATGCTGTTAGCTATTGGGTTTACGTAGCTGAGAGAATGAAGGAATGGGGGCAAACGTACAGCAAACACTTCGTCTTGGTGTCCCGGTAGGTCAACAGCCAGCTTGTACGTAGACATTGACCAGACCTTCAACGTGGTATCCTTGGACGCCGTGACGAGGAGCCTACTATCGGCAGAAAAGGCACACTGATATATGGGTGCCACATGGCCTCGGAGCGTGTTGATGAACTTGCCATCCCTATATCGGACACCACGTTAGCACGTGCCAGACGCCTTCGCTGCGGTGTCATCCAAACACAAACCTCGCGCTCCAGATTTTGGTATGATTGTCCCAACCGGCACTGGCAATGATGCTGCCATCAGGGGAAAACGTCACGTGGTTGATGGCCTTTTGGTGTCCCAACAGCCGTGCAACCGGCTTTGTGCCCTGCGAAGGGTCCCAGAGATACATGGTAAAGTCATCCTGTGAGAAAACGGGAACTCGTTAGAGACTTGGAACCAACACTAGCGATTTGTTTGTCAGGTCACTTACAGAGGCTGACACGAGGCGTTCCGCAATCTGCCCTTGGAATCTGGCTGCCTTCTCAAAACGCTCCTTCGCCTTCTTCCGCCTTTCCTCTTCTCCGGTCGGCGTCGCCTGGTGATCGTAAAATGACGTCCGTAGTGCAAAGTCAGTGGACAGGGCCAGGTGATTCACCCAGTGAGCATGAGACGACAGGGTGTGCACCAGTGTTCCCTTCTCGGCGTTCCAGACCCTGACTGTCTTGTCGTGGCTGCCAGAGTAGATCAATCCGGTCCCTCCCCATTTTACGCAGCTCACGCTGCTCCGGTGGCCGGACAAGACATGCTCCGTCCGTCCTGTGTTTACCGCCCAGACACGAATTGTTGTATCCTTGCTCGCACTCGCCAGTCGGGGTGACCCATTCTGCCAGAGATGATAGGGCTCCCAGGCAATGTTGGTAACCCACTTGGAATGTCCTGTCAAAGCTCCGGAACCGGCAGCTTTTCCAGTCTTGGGATCCCAGAGTCGGACAGACTTGTCCATGCTTCCCGTGGCCAAACGCTCGCCGTCGGGCGACCAGGCGACGCACAAAACCCAGTGCGTATGACCAGACAGGGTATACTTTGGGGTGCCAGTTTGCGTGTCCCATATCCGAGCCGTCTTGTCGCCTGAACCGGTAGCCAATAGACTGCTAGTCGCGGGACTGAATTGAGCGGCCAAGATCGCCTCGCCGTGCCCAGGTATTCTATGGGACATGCGCGTGACTGCTTGGACCTTGAACACAGCCTGGGGTTCGGCACTCAGCGTGACTGTCGTTTCGAAGGGATTCTCAATGCCATGGCTGCGCAAAAGCTGGAGAAGGTCGGTCGGATATTGGTCAACGATGATGTCGGTCTCTGGGATGTGTATTCGAAATCGATATGGGAGAAATTCCTCCTTGTCCTGTTTGCTCGGTACATCGTCAGTCCGACGCTCCTAGCGGCATCCTCATGCGGGCGGTAGAGACGAACCCTGGCTAGCAATGTATTTAACAATAATGATAAGTTTTTCTCAGATGCGTCGGCGAGAGGCACTTCAATGACATCGGCCATCTGCTTTCCGTCGCTGTCGAGGAATCGCGCCTTGAACGAGCCCGCGGGCCCAGACGCAACGGCGGTCACATCCTGCTGGATCTGCGTCCTCTCCAGGTTCTCGCGCTTCTGGCGCTTCGACGGGGGAGGTAGGACGGTCGCCATGGCAAGCTGAAGAGCGTCCTTTGACTGGTGATGGCTATCTCGACAAGATGTTGGAGGTCGCTACAAAATAAAACACGGTGGGGCCAAATGGCAAAAAAACTAGGAACGTCGAAAAATTAAGGCGGTGAGATTGTGGGGTCTCGCCAAAAATGGTAAGCACATCGCCCATATCTCAGGACCCCGGCCATGAATCTGTGGTATCAATGGGCCGAGTCAACTTGCAGCGGGAAAAGAACTGCGAACTCCTGCTGATGATGCCACTCAGAGGAGAGCCAAAAAGGTCTGGTCTGCCTAAACGTCTTGCTGTGACGCCATCGCCGGTCGGTGGCCACGCATGCGCTTGGGCGTGCCTCCGAATTGAGGAAAAGCCATGTTGGTCGGCATGCCACCGGGGATGGGGACGGGGCTTTGGGTGGGATTCTGCGGGAGCTGAAAATGCGTCAACGGCTGGAGATGACTGTTTTGTGCCTCTTGCTGAAGCTGGTGGTGGACTGCCTGTTGCTCCATGTTCTGCTGATGCTGCTGCTGCTGCTGCTGCTGCTGCTGCTGCGATTGTTCGTCAGGTCGTCCGCGACGCCTTGCACGCTGTTTCTGTGCTGACAGCTGTCTACGGCTCTTGTCCACCAGCGAGTGCCGCTTGTCTTGCGCTTCCTGCCTGCGTTGGCGCTGCCAATCTTCGTTCTGCACGGCGTAGATGGCAGCGATTTGCATCTGAAATTGTGCCAGCGCGTTCAGTCGATCTGGCTGTGACATCTTACGGTAATCGGACTTGAGCTGATGGAAAGTGTCGCCCGTCAAACGGAGCGTCGCATCAGAGATGCCAGCCAGCTGGATGGCTGTTGCAGTTTGCGCATCGGGTCGTGGGCCATTATCAATGTCTATCAAATCCTTGTTAGAAAGCTTGCTTGGAGTCCCGCGAAACCATTCCACTACGAACCTGGAAGCTCGCCGAGATCATTTTCTTCATCCTCGCTCATTTCAGTGGGCGTTGGTGGTTCTGGGGTCCCGGGAGCATGGTTGTGCTGATCACAGGAAATGGTCAGGACCCAGCCGCCAATGCTTTTGCGGTTGACAGCCTTGGCCTTCCACGGGCAATCCGTCTTCTTCGTCGTCGTCTTGTGCTTCGTAGCCATGCATTTGTACGGTCGGCCGCCTCGATCACAGACGAGATCGCATCGAACAATATCGTTGCCGGGAATATCAGCACCGCCCATTCTCGAGCGGTGCGATCTAGCCTTGACGATCTTGTAGCCCTCCTTCTCCATCCGCCCGTTCAGATCCTTGATCAGCTCCTCGTAAGTACTGAAGACGCCGGCATGGGGCACGGCCACGGCCTCGAGGATCCCAAACATGGCTTCGGAGGTGCGCCGACGGTTCGCGCTGTTATCGCTAGAGGGCGTGTGGATTTGAAGCCAAACCTGTGCGTGACGGATGTGATTCGTGGCGTGGCAGCGCGGTCGAGACGTGGAGAAGAAGGTTGGCTTGGTTGGGAGAAGATTCGGGCTAAGACCGCGGTACGTACCTGACGGCGGGCAGCGTGACTCAGCAGGGCGGTGCCTGGCCCTGATTGGTACGCACACGCCCAGTGAGCAGCACACGCTTCTCAGCTCCTTCCTTCGTTGATGCTTGGTGAATCCAACAGATACCTCAGATGTCGAAAAGAAGGAGCTGGTATGCTCTTTCCATGCCACAAAATAGAACAGTCATAGATGAGTCAGGCAGTCCGATAATTAAACCTCAACCTTATCTTACGAGCCCTCTCCCTCTCCCTCTCTCCTCTCTCCTTAATGCCCATCTGCTTCATCATCCCAGTGATCAGAGAACTGTGACTCGAGTTCAGTGCCTCTCGAAGTGATTCTTCATTCTGCTACCATCGCAAATGCTATTCTGTACTCTCTCTAGAGCATCTGAATAGACGTCTGCAACTATGCAGCCTGTATATCGGACTGCATCTCGGGCCACGGACACAGTTTTCTCCTATTTCTCGAGCTCTGTGCCACCTGAATCGCCCCCTTACCGACGTGGCCCTGGTCAAGCCAGACAAGGCAGTGAAGATGCTATCGAGAGCGAATACCGTGGTCAATCTCAGTACTCTCCATCTATTGCTAGCTCGAGGCCTAGTACCGCTTTGATAACAGGTTCGACAACCACTTCTCGTCCGACAACTCCCTCGCGCCGCTCTCGAAGTGGTGCCACGCCTTCTATCCTTGGGCAGAGTGAATCCCACGATGTCGTGTGCGCAGTGAGCGAAGCACGTAGCGTCGCTCCCACTGTGGGTATTGCTACAGTCAACTTGTCTCTCGGTGAAGCTACGCTCAGCCAGATTTGTGACAACCAATCTTACGTGAAGACGATCCACAAGCTTCAGCTAGCCTCACCTTCTCGCATAGTCTTCATGCCCTCAGCCTGCTCCCCGAACGAGCCAAGCACATTTTTCACTCTTGTTCAGCGACTGATACCCGAGGCGGAACTGTCCTCTCATGATCGCTCGGCCTGGTCGGAATCCGCGGGCGTGGAATTCATAGAACACCTCGCCCCCGAGGGTGATGTTGGACCAATCAAGGTGGCTATTCATGGCAAATACTACGCTGTCTGTTGTTTCTCTGCCGTGAGTATCTCTTCTACTTTTCTCCTTGCAATAGGCAACCTAACGTGCAATTTCAGGCCATGAAATATATCGACCACCAGTTTAGCATCAGCTTCTCTCCACAGTCACTGCGCATCCGGTACCAGCCTTCCGAAGACACAATGATGATAGACATATCCGCTATGCAATCATTGGAGGTGATGCGAAACCTCAAGTCTGCAAAGTCAAAAGAATGCCTGTTTGGGCTGTTGAATCACACGCTCACCCCAATGGGCTCCCGTGTCCTTCGGAACAATATGCTGCAGCCCCCAACCGATTTTGACGGCTTCATCAGGACACGATACGATGCGCTCGAAGAGATGGTCACTAATGAGGAAATGTTCCATGAAATCCGCAAAGGTAGGAAACATGGTTGGAATACTATTTAAGCGTCAAGCATGCTGAGTCACGACAGCTCTCAAGCTCTTCCATGATATTGAGAAGACTCTTACAAAGGCAAGTCAAGTATTCCCGACTGTTTGCTGCGCAGTTACTCATGAGCACAGCTAGTCACAATCAGAAAAAATACTGGGGTATTTGCAGTTGAGGAGCAAATCACTCATATACTCATGATCAAATCGTTTCTGGAATCGGTGCCGGAGCTTTACAGGGCCCTTCATCCGGCAAAGAGTGACCTGCTCGTCAAGATACGGAATCTATGCCGTCCCGAGACGACAGTTCCCATTTTGCTCAGCATCAGAAAGGTAATCGAGGCCGACGTTACTTATATGAAGTCGCCACTTGACCTACGCAATCAAAGGGCATTTGCAGTCAAATCTGGGATTAGCGGCATGTTGGATGTCGCTCGCCAAACATACAGAGAACTCACCGAGGTTATTCATGCACACTTGGCTGAAGTCAGCGGTATGGACTCCAAGAAACCCTTGAAGGGAAATTCATTGACGAACCCGTGTATAGAAGACTATCGTGTGGCGGCAAGCCTGAAATTTGACAATCGGCGCATGTACTGGTTCCGTATCCCTACGGCGGACCTTGACATGGAATCGATACCGCCAGAGTTCATTAATGTGATTCCGAAGAAGAACCACATCGAGTGCCAGACCCTTGATCTCGTCAAGCTAAATCAGCGACTTTTAGACACCTCAAATGAGATTATCATGAGAAGCGACGCTGCCATTCGTGACCTCGTCAAGGAACTCCGACGCCAAGTATCGCCTCTATTTCGAGTGTGTGAGTCGATTGCTCTCGTGGACATGATTTCGTCCTTTGGTCAAGTCACCACCACGCGGGATTATGTGAGGCCTGGAATAGAAGATACCTTGGCTCTGAAGTCAGCAAGGCATCCCATTCTGGACAAGGTAACAGGTTCCTAGGAGTTCCTGTCTGCTTTCATCGACTGACTCCTGCGATTTACAGAAAATGGCGAGCGATTATGTGCCAAACGACTACTATGCGAGTCAGCATCATAGATTTCATTGTGTCACGGGGTGCAACATGAGCGGCAAGAGCACATACATACGATCTGTAGCTTTACTTCAGATCATGGCTCAGATCGGATGCTTCGTCCCAGCAGAATTCGCAACCTTCCCCATCATACACAACATCTTTGCCCGAATATCGGCCCAAGATAATATAGAAGCGAATCTTTCAAGCTTTGGAGTGGAAATGAGAGAAATGGCCTTTATACTGAAGAACATAGACAGCAAGAGCCTCGCCATCATTGATGAACTGGGTCGTGGGACAAGCGTCAGAGATGGTATGGCAATTGCAATGGCCATTTCCGAGGCGCTGATTGACACCGGAGCGTCTATATGGTTTGCAACCCACTTTGTCGAGCTGGCTCGAATACTTGCGGATTGTCCAGGAGTCCTGAATCTCCATCTTGCGTCCAATACCTCGGTCGGTGAAGGGGGAATACCTCAGCTGACAATGCTTTATAATGCCACCGCAGGTATTGTTGACGATGAACACCACTATGGCATTGCTCTGGCCCGCGCTATTGGAATGCCAGACAGTTTCATCAAATGTGCAGAGTATGTTTCAAACGATCTGCGGAAGAGGCGAGAGTCGAGCCGGCAGAGCTCCGAGTACTACAAGGAAATGCAGCGGAACAAACTTGTGCAGAACCTTCATGAGGCCCTTGAGGAGGCCAAGAAGTCTTCGAATAAGGAGGCTCTTCCTGGCTATCTCAAGCGGCTCGAGGATGAGTTTATCTTGCGCCTCAAGGAAATTGACGAGATGTGACGGAGGGGTCAGTGGCGTGAAATAGGGGGGCTGCTTGTTTCGTGATATTTCTGCCACCGGACCAACCACTTTGATGTTCTCCAAGCATTGAGAAACATATCGTGTCCGTTAAAGAGATTGGAAAAGGCGTTGCGGGTGAGTTATTGTCGAGTGTTATTGTTTATTTGTTTCCTTAGTTGGCTTATGATGGCAGCCCAGGCAAAGCACCCCTATGTTGCTGGAATTGCTTCGCATTCCCGATCAGTTTTGTTATATCTCAGGACCCGAGTTACCCAGTCACGGATTTGTGACGTTCCCCCCTATGCGCAAACCGTTGACCAAAAAATGCTACTTCATGTGTCAGTCTGCAGGGTAGCCTCGAGGCTGCAAGTCGTCCATTACCCTACTCGTTGTATGTGCTCCTCTACTAATGCGATAGGTTACAAACCTGTTTAACATGCACAGTTACTCTGTATCTAATACAGATTTCACCTCTAACACATGTGAATCTAGGCATACATCCTTGTTATTGTTGGTTCGCATGGCAAAGCACTGGAGCGTGCGGGTCTGATTTGAAGCGATGTCTTACACTCTTTGCTTTGATAGACGCGCACTCTTCTCCCGCACCACATCATTTTAACACCAACTTCTCTAATCCTGGAACAGAACCTGGAGACTACCTGGCAGTACCCATGTCTATGTCATCCATATCGTCCCCCGCAGACCATAGCGCAGCGCGATTGCCTAGTGTAGATCGTGGGTAAAGTGTATGCGCTACGATCTTGAATACCTGAAGGAGGTCTTATATGGTCATCCTTGCTAACGTGAAGCTTGCCATATATGCCATTTCAGAAGCAGATACCTCAGATTTGAAGTAAACGGTACTTTGTACCTCGTACAGAGCCTGTTCGGTAACATGGATTATGGTTATCCCTGTCCGACAGCCTGGCAGGCCATCTATTGGTTCGAGTTGTTGGTTGGTGTTCTCAGTTGAAACATCGTCCAACCCCGCCTCAGCAGGATCGGGCATCAAGAGTTCATCTTCGCTTCATCCTTTACCATCGAAAGTCATCCGAATCACCGTGCGGGATAATCATGGAGACCAGGAAGCCACAGTATCAGCATTTCATCCCCCAATTTCTTCTCAGAAACTTCTCTCACAAGTATGTGCCTCCCGACGGGGCCAAAGCGGGGAAGTCCAAGAAGCGAAGCAACAACAAGAAGTATCCAGGAGACCCTGTGATCAACAGTCTTTGTCTATCTGATGAATATCGCATCGATGAATGTCTAGTGAGGCGAGTCTGCGGCCTGGAGAACATGTACGTGGACACGACAAAACCGGCCAAAGAACAAGGCAGGCTTGAGAAGAAGTTTGGTGTGCTTGAGAACAGAGCGAGCTGCGTGTATCGAAAGATTACCAAGGGGTACGAAGAAGGCAAGTCGGGCATATGGTTGAAGAGAAGCGAAAAAGATATCCTCCGCAAGTTCATCTTCTTGCTCAGCTATCGCGGAGAGCAATACCACCGGAAGTATAACCTCGACAGCCTGCAAGATTATGAAGAGGGCGATAAGAGTCTACTACAGGCTTACATGACAGAGAACGACTTCGCCAGGCCGATTGATGTCTGGCTGCATAGCCTCGAGACAATCATTGACTTGGACATGGACGCAGAGGGACGTTGGAGGAAGAGCATATTCAAGAGTATCTACTCCCCCATCGCCGACACGTTCGTCAGCCACATCTGCGACATGTACATGGGCATTTGCACACCTGCAAATCCCGACGAGGAATTTGTCCTCGCAGACAACTGCTACAATGTGACAGAAGGACCGACGAAGTCTTATTACGACGACACCTTGGGCAAATACATCACCAGGTCTCCTCGCTTTCACATGTTTGCGCCAATCTCCCCACGGCTCATGATCGTCTTGAGGCATAATCTTTTGCCTGAGCCGAACCAAGACTCGGATCCAGAGATGAGGGAACACCGGGAGTTCAACAGACAGCTGTGGATTGACACCATCTACGGCAGCGGAACGAAGTCCATGTTGGAGGATCTCCCCATTAGGCGAGCAGCGAACAGTTACTCGCACTTTGTTAACGGAAGATGGATGCCGAACACCGGCTGGAACCAGCGGCTTGGTGTGAACGACGAATTCTGCTTCTCGACCTTCAAGATAGCCACCTGCCATGTCCGAAAAATGAATGGCCTCTTGATCGACCACGCATTCCATGGCTCGAGGATTGTTTTTAATCGGAAAGATGCCTTCCTTGACCTAATGGAATGGTATTTGACAGAACCATGCCAGGTGGGCAAAAACCTCTTGGGCGAACACGTAGCTACGCAGTTGGCGTACATCAAGGGGCTCTCTCGGTTTATGCTACGAGAAGGAAGGGCGGTGGTGGCTGAATGGACATTTTGGCCGAGCGAGCATCGCGATCTGAAGCAGTTTCAAACTCAGAATGTTGCTGGGGCGAGGTTCTTGGAAGAGGTTAGGCATGGTGAAAGTGATGCGGGTTTCGATTTTGGAGCAATTTACAAGAGATTAGGTACCGTCCCTTTGTCCCTGGCTCCGATGCAGATACTGATCTTATGTCTTAGGCGGAACGAACGAGGCATTTGAGGAAGACAATAGGCTGTCATCCACTATGTCTGAATTCTGGACCAGGTGCGTCGACTTGGACTGGGATACCGCCGAGTACGAACATCTTCGCTCCGTCAAGCTCGGCTGGTTGTTGGATGGCTATCAACGGCAGCCGTGCGCGAAGTTTTGGATGTTTCTGAAGAAAATGAGATTGGCCCTCCATTGCCAAACATCACTGAGCAGGGACATGGAGACAATAAAAGTGGAAGCGATCTTAGAGGGAGGCTACAGAGGACCAGAAGACATGCTTACATACTGTAAGTCTGCCATCCCTCGTAGTATGATGGTGCTGCTAATTCGTCTCTTACAGCGTATCCCGTAATACAAGGCCGTGAGCTCAATGAAGCCATGTACAAGGCCTTCAACGAGAGCATGGATCTGATCAGAGGGCCGGGTCGTGGTATGGAGTCGATGGGGCACTTCTCACTGTTTGGTAACCCCAGCTGGAGGATTCCAACACCTGCGACTGTCGAGCGCTGGCCGTGGGACGATGGAACTGAGTTTAAAGAGGCACTGTTGGCCTCGCATATCGCTGATCTGGACAAAATACCGACCCATTCTGCCCGGCAAGATCAGCAGTCAGACGAAATCAAGGTGGAAAAGAATGACATGAGTGGGCTGAAGAAAGCAGCCCAAGCTTGGCTCCTTCAGGACGAAGGCACTGAGATACCGGCAAAGGCTATTGAGGAATCTCAGCCAGACCGTGATAAGGAGATTCGAGAGGTGCATAACGACCTGAGGAAAGCAGCCCCTTCTTGGCTATTTGACAAGGATGACAATAAGTCGTCGATGTCCGAAATCGAAAGACATGAGCCGGATAACGATGCAGGGGCCCAAGCAACGCCCGACGCCAACGAAGAAGTGCCTCCGGAGCAACCTCAGAGCTGGACGCAAGGGGAACCATCCCCATGGTATTCCGTCCTGCTGAAGATGAGAGAGGCTTACGGAAGCCTTGGCACCGATGCAAAGATTGGGATGCTTGGAGCATTTGCTTTCAGCGTCGTATTTCTGTCATTGAACCTCTGGCTGCTTGCATGGGGCAGTTTCCTATTCAGCCACTTGTTTTATTTTGCTGCTTGGGCTTTGCGAGGTCTGGCGTTGTTTTTGGCTGTTTGTTGGCCTGTGTTTGGTACCCTCGCGAAATACCTGTCTTATGTAGGAGGAGTTTTGATGCTTTTATGGAGGAGTTGTAGTGAAGGAAGGGCAGAGGCACAGAGAGAGGCACAGAGAGAGGCACAGAGAGAGGCATGGAGAAAGGCATGGGAAGCCCGTTAGGAATTCGTTGGACATGGAGACTTGACATTCCTATGTGATGACGATGGACAAGGAAAAGATAGTTTACACAAGATTGGTATCACAATTCATCATCTATGATTCTATGCGTACCGGAGCAGCTTATACAGATTCACCTCCACATCCGCAGAGATCTCTAGAGCAACTCAACTACACCCCAGTCCAGCCTCTCACAAGCAGACATTCACTCCTAACCCACCAAACTGCCCGCATAAAGTTGCGATTCACCACTCCCCAAGCCTCGGCACAAAAGCACAGCACTGCCACAAGCCCAGCGCCACAATTTTGACTCCGCCACACTTTCCTAATACAGTACCCGCTGCCTGCGCAATACTAATACTAAAAAGAGCCCAACAAAAACGCTACGAATGGCCAAGTTACACGCCCGGATCTGCTAAATGGCTGCCTTTGAGGATATTCGTATGCAAACGCGTCATCCAGCGGCAAATAACGAAGCGCAGCAAATACGCCATATGGTGAAAGCGGGTAAGAGTGGCGAAAAGGGGGGTTTTTTGTTGGCTTGTCCCTTAGGTAGGTATTGATTGATTGATCTAGATACGCTCTGATGAGCGGCCGTTTGTACCCGCTGGATCTAGGCTGCCTCTTATACTGAGGGTTAATCAATGTAGGTATATAAGGAAACATCTACATCTTCCTCTTGCAACATAGAAACTTCTTTTATTTTTCTCTTTATAAAAGACAATCGTTGATTCTCACATCAATCATTGACTGATGGGATCCATGCTGTACAACTCCCACCCCCCCAATCCCACCATGCCCCCAACCCTCGGGTCCTCCCTCCAAGCCCAAGGCCTCGCAGACGAGCAGAGGGGCCTGCTCGACCTCATCGACAAGCTCCAGTTCGCCCAGCTCGACAACGTCAAGCTGCCACAGATCGTCGTCGTGGGCGACCAGTCCGCTGGCAAAAGCTCCGTCCTCGAAGCCCTCAGCGGCACGCCCTTCCCCCGCGACGCAGGCGCCTGCACGCGCTTCGCGACGGAGATTCGCCTGCGGAGGGCAAAGGAGACGAGCCTCAGCGTGTCCATCATCCCGGACAAGAACCGCCCGTACAATGAGCAGGCTCGCCTGCTGCAGTTTGGGGGCGACGTGGGCGCCGACACGTCCTTTGAGGGCATGATGCGCGAGGCCACCGAGCTCATTGCGCCGCGCAGCGTTCCGGGCCGCTTCGCCGCCCGAGATATCCTCGTCGTGGAGAAGACGGGGCCGGAGATGCCCATGCTGAGCCTCGTCGACCTGCCGGGCCTCGTCCGCGTGGCCAACCGGGACCAGTCCGAAGCGGACATCCAGACCATCGAGGTGCTCTCTGACCGGTACATGAAGAGCAGCCGGACCATCATCTTGGCTGTCATTGGCGGCAACAACGACTACGTGCAGGCGCCCATCTTGAAGAAGGCACGCCATTTTGATCCTTCGGGGTCGCGCACGATTGGCGTCTTGACGAAGCCCGACATGACGGAGGGCATCGGTCTCGAGGACAAGTTTATAGAGCTCGTCACCAGCAAGGATCGAGAAAACAACTTCAAGCTCGGCTGGTACGTCCTGCTCAATCCGGGACCAGGCGACCACTGGTCCTCTCCTGAGGAGAGATCACGACGAGAAGCAGACTTCTTCACAAAGGGCAAATGGGCCGCCCTGCCGCCTCACATGTGGGGTGTCGAAGCCTTGCGACAGAAGCTCAGCTCGCAGCTCCAGCGGCATGTCGGAAAGCACGTCAAGACGCTCCGAAGACAGATCCAACAGGCTCTCGAGCAGTGCGAAGCCCAGCTCAAGGCCATGGGCTCGGGGAAAGACACCATTGAGGAGATGCGCTTCGAGATGGGCGAGCTCTTCTCGGCGTCGGGCAACCTCGTCACCCCGGCCGTCAACGGCAACTACAAGAACCCCGTCGGAGAATCCTTCTTCTCAAGACGATCTAGCCCCAAGGGAACGCCCGCGCAGAAGTTGCGGGCCCGTGTCCGCGAAGAGAGCGAACGGTTCTCGCGCCTCTTCCGGCAGCACGGCAGCAAAGTCAACTTTGCCCCTTCTGCTGGCTCTGGCGTGAACCTGCCGGCAGCAGGCGTTGTGGGAGACCAGGCAAAGAAGGAGTTTGCGCAGAGAGAAGTCGAGCCGCTGCTTCGACAGATCCGCGGAAACGAGCTTCCGCTTGACTCCAACCCCAGGGCTCCGTATATCCTGTTTCAGGACTTTTCTCGCAACTGGCCGGTGCTGGCTCAGGAGTACAAGGACAATGTCGGAGTCATTTGCAACGAGTTCCTCGCTGACGTGATTGACCATGTGTGGCCTCTCAGGATGAGAGACGCCTTGAGATATCACTTCCTGGAGAAGAAGATGAAGGAGATGATGGACGAGGCCGAGAAGGAGCTGAAAAGGCTGACTGACGACTTGGAGCTGGAGATTCAGCCATATGATCCCGAGTATGAACAGCGCCTCATCAGGTGGCGCGCGGAAGCGACTGAGAACGGTGGCACGTACACCGAGGCGGAGGAAGTGCTCGAGAAGATGCTCATCTACTACGACCTGACGGCGCGGATATACACTCGCAACACCATCACCCAGGTCGTCGAACGACACTTGCTTCTGCGGATGCTCGGGCTCTTCAACCCCGTCGAGATTCTGCGCATGCCAGACTCCACGATTGAGGCCATTGCAGCCGAGAACAAGGAGACGCGCGACCGCCGCACTGCGTTGAAGGCAAGGAAAGCGGCCATCGAGGATGCGCGGAGCATCTGTGCCAGTCTGGCAATGAGGAGCGAGCTGCGGGCATATGAAGACGAGATGGAAGACCAGGTCGATACGGACGACGAGAGTCCGTCTCAGAACGACTACGCCTCCAAGCGTTTCTCGGTGTCTTCAACTCATGAGAACGCCCAGCAGACGTCGGCATCTCAAAACCCAGCACTACGTCGCAAGAGACGAGAGGAGCGGCCTCGCCCGTCCATGAGCGCGGACACGCAGCAGGGCCAGCAGAATGTCCAGACCAATGGTGTATCTGCTCCCGACTGGGATGAGTCGTATTACACGACAGCCCAGCCGGCACCTCACCACGCGCCGCCGCCGCCGCCGCCTCCGCGACCTCAGAAAGTAGGGTTCGAGGACGGCGAGCGGTATGACGCTACTCCGAGGGTCGATTCGGCCAGCAGGGCGAAAGAGAGTGCGAGGCACAAGCTGGCTTCGTTGATGAGGAATGGCGTGCAGAATTAGGGGTGAGATGGATTGTTTCATATCCTAACAGGCCTGACGGTACCATTGTTGGGATTGTATATAGTAAGGCACATTGGGATATATAGACTTGTAGTTAGTGGCTTATAGCGAATGATGAACTTGCAATGAATGATGGATTGCCGCACCACCAGAACTACTGAAACCCTTGCGCCGGCATTGAGACCGCCTTTGACCAGTGCTCTCTCAGTGATGGTTTGCAAAGAATAGTATAGTCGGTGTGACTGCTGCTGATGGATTCGCCAAACGTAAGGCTATGTATGCTGGCTCATGATACGCGATCCTTCAGGATCCATGCCAATTGTCGATCATATTGCATATGCCGAATATGGCAGACCGACTTCGCATCTCTGGCGACTTACCCCTTGTTGGCGTCACAGCCGGGTCGCCCTCGAAGCACAATTGAAAGGTGTTCAAACTGATGCTCCATCACATGGAACAGGCAGGCAGACGCTGATGAAGCCGATGCGCAATCCGCATCCCTTCCAGTGGGCGACCGGATGACAGCAGGCGACAGCGAGAGCGGATTCGCAGACGCTAGGTCGCATTTTCAAAATCTCAAGATACTGCATTCGTAACTCCAACATCGTACACATCCAATGAGCATCCGCGTGAGTCATTTCAGCTGCCAAGCACCGAGAGCCAGCTGTTCAACATCAGTTGACGAGGCACTCCATTCGGTTCGTAAACGAGGGCGTCGTCATCGGGCAGCGCGTCAGTTCAACCTAATTCATGCATTCGGCGAAAGCTGCATGGGCAAAGTTCGAGAACGGCGCATCTTGAATAGTCTGGTCTGATATCAGGCATCCTTTTGATTGTCGGAGTCGGACGTCGGACGTCGGGGATCAGCTTTTGAGAGGATTCAAGAGGTTTTTAGTAGCTGGAGGGGGATACAAGTATGTAGGCTGCAGAATGCGGGTGAGTTTACGGGGCGCCACGCGGACTGGAGTCTTGCCGAACGGGTGTGGCTTGACGCCGATGGTGGAGGCGCGGAATTTGCTGGGAGTGCTGCATGCCATATATCAGATATATCTGTTGATGCAACGAGTTTCACGCACTCAGTTTAAAAGCAGTAAAGACAAAGAGCATTATTTGCTATCAAATTTGCAAGACAACGATCAATTCCAAGCAGTTCATGCTGGTGTGAAAGGCATACCTGTACCTGTATATCGACCGCAACGGCATCTCAGGTACAGCGCATGTACGGCATCCAGCAAAGCCACACCGCGCCACAAACCAGCCAAACCGGCCCAACGTTCCTCCCCCACTCAACCTCCGTGCCGCCGACATGCCCTAAAAAGCGAACCTATGACAGGGGGGAGGGGACCACCAAATAAGAGACGACAGACCCCAGTGAACCACCACAACGGAGCACGGCAGTTCCACAAGGCTTAACGCTGGCCCGGCCACTTACCTAAGCCTTCGCTTTCGCTCTCGCAATTTCCTAATTGAGTAATGCCCCCCCCCTTGTGCTTTTCTAGGTGGCCCGACGGGTCGGTATGACTTCACTTTTTGGTTGTTTCAAGCGTGTTTGTTACTGGGCCTGGGTTTTGCAACAACGTGGCTCGGAAGCCATGGCGCATTTCTGGAGGGGGCCGTGATTTGGACACATGGCGTTGAGATGGTCCGAGGTGACGAGCGAAGGATTTGGGCGTTGACGAGGAAAGGGGGAGATGTCGAGGGGATAAATAGGACGTGATGTCGCCGTTGATGGAGATGGAATGCTCAGCATCACAGCATCGCGATAGACAACAGACAAGCATTCAAGCATACCGCACAAGAAACAATACCCAGCACTAGCTCCTGAAAGTCAACCAATCTCACACTCAGTACCACTTCTGTATTCAGGCTCGCCGCTCACAGGCACTTCACCACTTACACCACTTACGCCTCACCACCAAAATGTCCATCCCCAACCGCAAAGTCGTCATCACCACCTACGGCCCCCCCTCAACCGCCCTCCAAATCGTGTCCGAGCCCCTCCCCCCTCCGCCCAAGAACCACGTCCAGGTCAAGATCTACTACGCCGGCTTCTCCGGCGCAGACGTCAACATGCGCCTCGGCGTCTACCCCCTCCAGCGCTCCGCCCCCCTGACGCCGGGCTACTGCTTCTCCGGCGCCGTCTCCGTCAACGGGCCCGGATGCTCCAGGTTCAAGCCCGGCGACATGGTCACCGCCATGACAAAGTACGACGCCGACGCCGAGTACATCAACATCCACGAGAAGCACCTCGTCGCCGTCCCCGAGGGCGTCGACCCGAAACAGGCCGCCGCCCTCGCCCTCGACTGGGCCACGGCCTACGGAATGGTCCACCGCAGCGCCAAGGTCTCCGCCGGCCAGCGCGTCTTCGTCCACGGCATCAGCGGCGCCGTCGGCCAGGGGCTCATGCACCTCTGCCTGCTCCAGGGCGCGACCGTCTACGGCACCGCCGCCGAGCGCAACCACGCCGCCCTCCGGGAGGCGGGCGCCCACCCGTTTGCCTACACCAACAAGGACTGGATCCGCGCCATGAAGGAGCTCGGCGGCGTCCACGCCGTCTTCGACGCCCTCGGCTTCGAGAGCTTCGACGAGTCGTACTCGATCCTGACGCTCGACGAGCCAAGCATCCTCGTCGCCTACGGGAACAACCTCTCCTCCCTCACCGACGACGGGAAGCCGCGCTCCCCCTTTCCGTCCATGATCAAGATGCTGTCCAAGTCGCTCAAGGTCGGATGCAACAGGACGACCACCTTCTTCGGCATCACGCGCAACCAAAAGACGTACCAGCCGGAACTGCGCACGCTGCTCAACATGGTCAAGGACGGCACCATTCATGTGCCCATCAAGGCTGTCTGGGAGTTTGACGACATCAAGAAGGCGCATGAGGCGTGGGGCAAGGGCGCGGGCATGGGGTCGCCGCTGATTCGCATTGCTCCTGAGGCTTGAAATGTTTAATTTTATGCTTCTATCACCGCTCTGTCTTGTACGGAATATGGTTTCCTTTGGTCGTGTTGAATAGGGGGCGCATTGTCGTCGGCAGCTTGGAGCGGCACGTTTTCTTTGCATCCCACCTAATGTTAATCACTGCCTCAATTAGATAGAATTTTCCCTTTTTATATACCAAATCTCGTCTCTCATATCAATCCACTGCTCAATAAAAGTTGTAATCGCCTACTGAAACCCAAAACATATCGCATCATCCCCAGAAGTGATGTCATGATGCCCTGACGTCACCAGATCACCAAAGAGGCGAATCTACATACAACAAGTATCACGGCATCAACCTTCATCAAGCTCAAATAAAATCTCCGATTACAATCTCCAATTCCAATCTCAGATCCTTCAACAACCAATCCATCACAAAGAAACCATCTGAATCATCGAATCAACCGCCAAAGCTCAAAATGTCATCAACTCTCCACCTCCGCAACCTCAACCCCCGAACCCTCATCCGCACAGCCCAAACTACTACTACACCTTCTCTCCATCGCCCATTCCACCAAACCGTCCCTCGTCTCGTGCCCGCCGTCAAGCAAGAGGCCGACAAGCCGCCACCAGAGGAGACGCAAAAGAAGTCCAAAAAGGGCGGCGCGCCTCAGCCCAAGATTTCGAATCTCAGCATGCCCGGCGTCAACAAGTCGGAGGAGCTCACCAAGGAGCAGAAGGAGGAAGTCCGGAAGCAGTAAGAACTCTCTCTCCCTTTTCACTATTCTTCTTCCCGCCTTTCGGTCTGTGATTGTTACCCACGAGGGATTCGACGCAAAGTTGGAACTGACCCTGCTGTGATGAAAACAGCAACGAAGACTTTGAGAAGAAGTTTGACCACGGTCAAACAGCCCCGCAAGACAAGATAGATGAGAAGTTTTGGGAAGGCGGCCAGGGTCGTAAGCCATGATGCGCGTCTTGTTCCGCTTTATCGTCTTTTCCGCATTGTCTTAATGGGGGCTTTTTTTATCTTTCAGAGTACAGCAGGGCCGCAAGGGCATCATTTCACGTGTCACGATATGAGCAATTGTTCTCTTTTCATCACGGGCATCCTACATTGCTAGCAGCAGTCGAGTTGAGTGGGGAGATTCGGAAGAAAATAAGTTTGAGATTCCAAGTTCATGCGCATCTGGCTTTGTGACCGGCTTGCCGCTCCTTGTCCATTGTACTCGTAGCACACGAGATGCCATATACGCATACAGGACCTCTGATAACTCGATTTCGTAGCTATTTGATCAAAGATTCTTCCCAGAGCCCCATCAGCCCTCAGCTGGCCACGTCTTCGGAACTGGACGGCCAATATGTTCAGAAGGCACGTCGCGTCTCGTTGCTGATAACCGTAAGGGCAACCGCACGCTCCAAAGTTGGCCGTCAAACACCGTTGGAACTGGCGAGTGCGGCGCAGGGGTTCTCTCTTCTGCCATCACCACACCGGAAATGGGCAATCAGGGCTGGTGATCAATGGATGGATGCACGCCTCTTGTCTCGCCGACGTTTCAAGGTTGCCTGCATGACAGTCAGTAAACCTTCTACCGCTCCAGGACCATCCAGGACCGACGTTACCACAAAGCGCAAACCACGAATGATGGACGATGAGCGAGACGCCCATTGCTCGATGGCAGTACTGTCTCTACTGTGCCATCTTTGGAAGAGCCGCGAAGACTAACCCCGTCTACCATCACCTAGCCGAAGGCAGGAGGCGACAGACAGTAGGTCTGCTATCGCTGGAATTGGTCTGTCGCAAAGATGAAGCATTGGCATTGACGCCCAAGGATTTCGGTCGTGCCTGTTCCAGAGACCAGAGTCGCATGATCGAAGTGGCGCAATCTGTAGAAGCTCATCGAGCCGGCCCATGTCACAATGGTCTCGAAAAGGAGCCGCATATTCTCATGGCCGGTCCATCCCGGTGCCAGCCATGTCCCCAATCAAGCCGCGAACCCAATCGACAACGGCCTTAACCATGCCCTGAGGCCGGCTCTTCCCCTCCACGCCGCGCACAGGCTCAGTGCCCATCGTAGGCAGCACATTGTCGCCCGCAGACAAGCTGACAAACAGCGCAAAGGGCACCAGCCAGACGCACAGGCCAAAGTATGATGCTATCATGGTAAAGGTCGGCACGTCCACCCTGTCGTAGTACGAGGTTCGGTTATAAGCTCGCGCCTGGCTATCGGCAAAGTGTCGAAACCACACATAGTGATCGCACAACACCAACACTACAAAAAGCATGTCAGTATATACGCGCCCACATCCTGTCGCACTATATACAAAAGCTTAAAGCGGGAAACCATACCACAGGACAGCAGGAACAGCGGATCCGTGAGCTGCACAAAGGGAAACTTCCTCATGTTGCCCAGATACACCACGTGCGAGAAGATGCCCAGGACCGTCGCCCAGAAGGGAAAGCCGTCGAGGAGCCAGAGCGCGACCTGCACGCCAATGATGATTTGGATGAGCCGCGTCAGCAGCCGCTTCGCCAGGACGGTGTGCTCCTCCACCAGCTCCGAGAGGTAGTAGAGCCCGGACGCGATGGACAGCGTCAGGAAGCAGAAGCCGAGGATGGCGCCGGCGTAGCCCAGCAGGGGGAGAATCCACATGTTTGTTTGTATATGTCGAGCTATATACACCAAATGTTGTCGAGAAACGTAGTGACCAGATTGGTTGGTATTTGGTGGTATTGAACAAGCTGGGAGAAGATAAAGGAACGGGCGAAATGCCAAGAGAAGACAAAGGAAGCGGACGACTTATTAGACAAGGGTGAGCTGCTGTGGACACGTTCATGTGCTCGTATGTAAATGGGATGAGCTGCATGGATCTCGTGGGTCTGTCGTCATGCGGAACTATTGCTTTTCCCGCTCCGACGAAGCTCAGGAACACAACCACCAAACGATGCATTCAATGGCAAGGCATGCAGAGCTGAGGTCGATTTATGATGGATAGGTACGTTGCAGCTATCAATCATTCTCTTCTCAGCCTCATATTTCCGATATTTCTCCTATCGAAAGCAATGTGTCAATTCGTGGTACATGAGCCAACGCGCACATGTCAAGCTTCGTCCCTTTATCAGCCATGCACCTTTGCGCTTATCGATAACACCCACAAAAAAATGTCACGATGCGCCCGCCGCAGCGCATCTCCAACGATTCAAAGCAACAACAAAAACAGACGACCGCAGCATCCCCTCACACAGCGCATTGGGTGAAATTCCAAGCACATCACCAATCTTATAAGCATCAAACACCCTAAGCCGCCACAATGTCTCGCCCCGAGGACTCCCTGTAAGCTCACTCTGCACCCCTAACAAACTTCAACGTTCTAACCCCCAACGCCCCAGCGCGGCCGACGTCCACTACGACGACACCGAAGCCCGCAAATACACAACCAGCTCCCGCATCCAGAACATCCAAGCCTCCATGACCCGCCGCGCCCTCGAGCTGCTCGACCTCAAGTCCCCCTCCCTCATCCTCGACGTCGGCTGCGGCAGCGGCCTCTCGGGCGAGATCCTCTCCGCCGTGGACCCCGCCGACGGCGGCCCGCACACCTGGATCGGCATGGACGTGTCCCCCTCGATGCTCGACATTGCGCTGCAGCGGGACGTCGAGGGCGACCTGCTGCTCGCGGACATTGGGCAGGGCGTGCCCTTTCGCGCGGGCACCTTTGACGCGGCGATTAGCATCTCGGCAATCCAGTGGCTGTGCAGCGCCGAGTCGAGCGAGACGTCGCCCACGGGAAGGCTGAACCGCTTCTTCAACGGCTTGTACGCCTCGCTGAGGAGGGGCGGCCGCGCCGTGTGCCAGTTTTATCCCAAGAACGACACGCAGCGCAACATGATCACCCAGGCCGCCGTCAAGGCGGGCTTCGGCGCGGGTATCCTCGAGGACGACCCCGGCACCAAGAACGTCAAGCTGTACCTCGTGCTCACCGTTGGCAACAACGGCGGCGAGGGCGGAAACACGGACATCACTGGCGTGGTGGACGGCATGGACAATGTCGACGTGCTGGATGCCAGGAAGAGGCTCAAGGCGAACAACGCGCAGCTCAAAAAGGGCAGCAAGGCGTGGATCGTCAAGAAAAAGGAGCAGATGGAGCGCAAGGGCAAGATTGTCAAGGCCACGTCCAAGTACACTGGCCGCAAGCGTCGGGTGCAATTCTAAGAGCGAGCTGTGTGGTCTTGATGCATGGTATAGGCGTTGGTGGCGCATTGTGTTTTTGTCTCGGGAGTCTTTTTTTATAGACACATATGATATATATATATCTGTTGATACCCTCTTATTTATCAGGTCATTCTGGCTTCGCACATCTGTTGACATGGTCGGATTGATTACCGAGGAAAGCATCTTATTCTTGTTTTCTACACCGGTATGAGATGCTGTTTCTAGAACAACATTCTATCAGATCCACTCATATTTCAACATGAACGCGAATTCCTCATCCGAGCCCGATTTCTTCTTTTTATTTCCTTCCTTTGTTTGAAGCATTTCTCTATGACTGCGTGAGGCCCTCAGCAGCCTTCTCAGTGACGCCAACAGTCTGCTCCGGCTTCATGGTAGGGAAAGCCAGGACTTCTCTAATGCTGTAGTTGTCGGTCAAGAACATCATCATTCGGTCGATACCCATGCCCCAGCCACCAGTGGGGGGGAGACCGTGCTCGAGGGCACGGCAGAAGGTCTCATCGACACCCTGCGCTTCATCGTCACCCTGGGCCTTCTGCCGGGCCTGCTCCTCGAATCGCTCACGCTGCTCGGCAGCAACGTTCAGCTCGGTGTAGCTGTAGTGTGTCAGTGATCCATTCCGAACCGTGTAGTTGCAAAGTGCACTTACGCGTTGACAATCTCCTTCTTGCACACGAAAGCCTCGAATCGCTCGCAAAGGCCGGGGGTGTCGCGGGAGCTCTTGGCCAGAGGAGACATCATCTTGGGGTGACCAGTGATGAAGGTGGGGTTGATCTAAAAGACGTTAGCATGAAGTATGACTACCAATACACTGTCATCACTTACGCATTGAGACTCGAGGAATTCTCCGACGAGAGCATCCAGCATGCGGGCGTTGGTCAGAGGCGGGTTGCACTCAACACCAGTCTTCTTGAGGACTCTCCTGAAGAACTGGTTGGCCTCGTCGGTGTGGAGCTCATCCGCGGGAGGGAACTTTTCGCCAACACACTCCTCCAGGGTGGGGATCATCTCAATGCGGCGCCAGGGGCCCTCCCAGTTGATCTCGACCTCTTCGCCCTTGATGTTGTGGTACTTGGTCTTGTAAGAACCGTGGATATGCTTGACCAGGCCGGTGACGAGCTCCTCGGTCATGTCCATGAGGTCATAGTAGTCGGCGTAGGCCATATAAAACTCCAGAGTGGTGAACTCTGCAGCATTGTCAGTACACAGCAAACTCGGGGCGCGAAGGGCTTGGACCTACCGGGGTTGTGAGTCAAATCCATGCTCTCATTTCTGAACTGTCGGCCCATCTCGTACACGCGGTTCAGGCCACCGACGACGAGCATCTTGAGGTACAGCTCAGGGGCGATACGAAGGTACATGTCCATATCCAGGTCGTTGTGGTGAGTGATGAAGGGCTTGGCAGTGGCACCACCGGCGATGGCATTGAGCATGGGGGTCTGCACAGCGATGAAGTCCCGGTCGTCGAACCAGCGGCGGATGTAGGAGTCGACCTTGGCACGGGTGATGAAGACATTTCGGACGTTGTCGTTCATCATGAGATCGAGGTAACGCTGGCGGAATCGCTGCTCGGGATTCTTGAAGCCATAGTGGTCATCGGGAATCTAATGGAGTTAGAATAGCGAACATGACCTGATTCCGAATGCAGTAGCCTACCTGGTGCAAGCAGGGCGACAGAAGAATGACTTCAACAGCCGCAATAGAAAGCTCTCCGGAGTAGTCGCCGGAACCCTGCTTGGTCTTGGGGTTGGTTCGGGTAGGGTAGCCTCGGATGCCTGGTGAAGCGAGTCAGAGCCGTCACACTCAAAGTTGGGCTTTTCATGCACGAACCGATGATATCACCACGGCGGAGGTGGACGTGTTGCTCCTCAAAGTCGGGAGTGCCCTCCTCGCGGTTATCAGCCTGGGCAAGGACTTGGAGACGGGTGCCCTGGAGACTGTTAGCATGGGGCTCAATTACTGTAGGTGACCGCAGCAAGCATACCTCGGAGCGGATGTCGTAGAAAAACAGCTTGCTGCCTGCTGATCGTCGGACGTAGACTCGGCCGGCGAGTGAAAGCATCTTGCTCTTGTCGTACTCGCCGTTCTTGAGGTTGGAAAACTCCTCGGCGAACTTGCGGATGTCGTATGTGACGTGGAACTATGAATTGATGAGCAACCGGGGGCCGTTTGATGCATCTCTCAGTATCCGTGGATGCGCACCTTGTGAGGGTAAGCCTTGCCCTTGGCATGGAGCTCGTTGACGGTTCTTGATCGGATCTCAAAGTACTGTTGTCGTCCCGTTAGCACACGATCAGAATTGTAAAGCCTCCAGCGCATCGCATACCTGGTTCGGGGTGAGCTCCTTCTCGGCCGCCTCGGCGTTCTTGTTGCCAGCGGCCTGCGCCGGCTTCTTGTCCTTGTTGGCAGCCTCCTTCTCCTTCTTGGCGGCCTCCTTCTCGCGGGCCTTCTGGCGCTTCTTGAGCTCCGTCTTGGAGATCATCTCGCCGGTGACCTCGTCGAGGTGCAGCTTGGCGGCGGCGGCAGTGGCCTCGGCGACGGCATCGCCGGCAGCGGGTTGGTTGTCGGCCATGTTTGTGCGATTCTGCGGGATATCTGGTGTTGGGGGCGTGGGTAGAGGGTGGGATATCTTGAGGCGGGAGGATAAAAAAAAAAAATTATATCTGATGCAGAGTCATAGTAGCAGCAGAAATCGGAGTCACCCCGCCATTGCGACCAGACCAATGGAGGGGTTGGTTGGCAGGGTTTATTTCTGCGTGAGTGGACGGGAATTCGATCCCCCGATCCGGCCGATGGAATTTATTGCTGCTTTGACGTTTTCAACCAACGGCCACCAGATGGATTGAAGGGTCGCTTGGTTTTTATTGCTGACAATTTGCATGCGGCTCAACTTAAGATTTGCATGCGCCTTGAACGTATAAGGTCCTCTCTTACCCTTTTCTCTCTTACTGTTGGGGTTATAAAGCCGCCCAAGGGCTCGTATTCGTGCAGCCTTTGCACGTTGTCCATTGCCAGTACATGTATATACGAGTACTTAGGTAGGTATTCTAGGTATCCATGATGAAGCAAAAGCACTCCTTTGGTATGCCTAATGGAAAAGTAATAAGATGCCTACGAAGGAAATCAGTCATTTCTGTAATCTACTAGGAAAAGCCTCCGCAAAGTAGTAGCATCTTCTGCCATCGTCTTCCCAGAACCCCGCCGACGTAAGTTACAGTCAGCATGCGTATTAGTTTCCGTATAAGTCAAGCCCGTCACTGTCACATCCGCAACTCGGCCGACGAGCCGCGCAGAGGAACCGATGCGTGCCTTATCTACCACACATCATTAACAACTAACTTTTCTTGTCAATCTGATAGCTTACTACCTTACATTAGGCACCTACCGTGTCTCAAGTGCTATAACTCTCAAAAGAGCGTATCCGTAGCCGTCCCCTCATATCTTGCCGGCCAAGGGCCAAGTCCATGTCTCCTCAACACCAAACCACCACTTATAACCCTCTCCCCTACATCAATCACCCTCTACACAAACCTTCCAAAGCCCTCACTCTCCATAATATCCCCAGACACAACACCTCGAGCAGCTAGAAAACATGGCCCTCTCCTCCCGCGCCTCCAAACTCAAAACCCCCGACCCCTCCTTCTCCATCCTCACCAACTCCTGGCACCCGTCCCTCAACCCATCGGGCTACGTCAACCTCGCCGTCGCCGAAAACTACCTCATGCACGCCGCCCTCCAGTCCCACCTCCACGCCCACCTGCACGTGCCCACCACCGCCTTCACCTACGGCGACTTCTTCAAGCGCAGCCGCGGCGCCATCGCGCGCTTCCTCACCAAGCACCTGCGCGCCGCGTCGCCCATCGAGACCGGGCACGTCGCCGTGGCCAGCGGGTGCACGGCCGCGGTCGAGCATCTCGCGTGGGCGTTTGCCGATCCGGGGGACTTGATCCTCCTGGGGAGGCCTTACTACGGGGCTTTCCCGTGGGATGCGACGCTGAGGACGGGGGCGAGGCTTGCGTATGTCGATTTCGGCGAGGATGATCCCCTAGGAGACGTTTGTGTCCAGAAGTACGAGGACAGAATCCTCGAAGCTCACTCCAACGGCGAGAAAGTCACGGCCTTGCTGCTCTGTCACCCGCATAACCCGCTGGGAAGATGTTATCCGCGCCACGTCCTGGTCGACCTGCTCAAGCTGTGCGACAAGTACAAGCTCCATCTCATCAGCGACGAGATCTACGCGCTCTCCATCTTTGACAACACCGTCGACGCGGAGCCTGCCCCGGCGCCTTTCCACTCTGTGCTGTCCATCGATCCCACGGGGGTGATTGATCCCGCGTACGTCCACGTCATCTGGGGCATGTCCAAGGATTTCGGCGCCAATGGACTCCGTCTGGGAGCAATCATATCGCAGCACAACGTCGACTTGATGACGGCCTTGGTCCCCGTCGTGCTTCTCACATCCGTATCCTCCCTCACAGAACACGTCCTCGCAAATGTCCTCGAAGACGACGCCTGGGTTGAGCACTACATCAAAGAGAACCAGCGCAAACTATCCACATACTACGAATACATCACCGCCTGGGCGAAGAGCAACGACATTGTCTATGCGCCCGGCGTCAACGCGGGGTTCTTCATATGGGCTGACCTGGGACGAACATATCTCAAGCATCAAACGGACAATAAGCCAGAGGCGGACGTCGACCAGGCTGTTATGGATGCCTTGTTGAGGCATAAGGTGTTTCTCGCTTCGGGGTTGAGGTTTGGATCGGAGAAGCTGGGGTGGTTCCGGATTGTGTTTTCGCATGATAAGGAGTATTTGGATGAGGGTTTGAGGAGAATTGTGGCGGCGGTGACGACGCCTGGGCCGTCGAAGGAGGTGCCGATAGATTTGGAGAATGGCTTGGCAACGGCTGAAGGAGTGTAAAGCATAGATTTGGATAGATTTGTTTGACTGGTTATGCTTGGACAGAAAAA